TCACACTCTTGTTCGGGTCTGACCATTTTGCCCTTAATTTGCATACCCTCAACAACATTCTGCAACTTAATAACATCGTCGTAGTTACAGTGGCCTAGTATCTCATGCCATGTCTGTATGTCGTGACATGTGTTACATTTATCATTAGACTCAGTTTCAGTATGCAAATAATACAGTCTACTATAAACATGAATGTTGAACCTGGTACCGTCTCTGGTTATCAGGGAGTCTTCATCTTCTTTAAAAACAACCGTAGCCCCATTTGTAGTGGCCGCTTTCACTGAGAAGATGCTCTGGGGGTACGACGGTACGAATAAAGCGTCTCTCAGCATCGCCCTGCGTCGCTGTCCTCTGTCGTCGATGAGAGAAACCTCTGCATTTCCCCTCCGCTGAGCGACCCCGCTGCACCGGGTGCCGTCTGCCAGCTCAACACTGTGCAATTCTGGCTTGAACTTGCTGTCAAAATGTTTGAACATAGTTATGTTATTTATGACGTGAGAGGTAGCTCCCGTGTCCACCATCAGACCTCTCTCCTGTATGCTGCATGCTGGCTGAAGTTGGTAACGGGTCTCTCCGTCTCTTACCTTGAACACGTAGTCCTCATCGTCTTTATCAGAGACTTTACTCACGCCATCTTGTTTTTCCTTACTGTCTTTATTCTTTCGTCTGCACGTGGCGTTTTTGTGTGAGTCACTTTTGCAAAAACTACACCATGTCTTCTGTTTACATGCTTTTGCTCTGTGGCCTTTGATTCCACATTTAAAACACACCACATCAGTGTCTTCTTTGTTCCAGCCATGTGCGTTGGTTTTAACAGGCCGCCATGTTGTTTTCCCTTGAGTTTTCAGAATCAAATCAGATCAGAATCATTTTTATTGCCACGTGAGTAACAAAGTTATCACTTGGAAATTGTCTTGGCAGAGAGCGTGCCACTTCGCCATTTGCGGCGCTGTGTGCAGCAAGAAACAGCAGAGAGCAATAACATACAGTTCACATACAATTGGATAGACACATTGTGCTTTTTATAAACCACGGATTTTTTTCTCGGGATGAGCACCTCCGGCGGCCGGCCCAATGTAGCTGTCAGAGGGGGGCGGGATCAGGGAGGGGGTGAGTAGGAAAACAATAAGGAATGGAGGGGAGGGAGGGAGCAAGATGGATAGGTAGAGGGAGGCGGGGGTGAGGGATCCTTGCTGGAGACTGAAATAGTGTGAGTTGTTGTAGATTGTGGGACCTTGTTTATGGCCTTGGTCAAGGAATGTGAGATAAGAGTGGGGAGAAGACACAGCAGGAGAAACACAAATCGCCTGAGAGGGATAATATTATATGCAATGTAGCATCAAAAGCAGGCAGATATTCTATTAATTCCAATTAAACCGAATTACGGCGCCCTCAGACCTCCGTACACAGGGGCAAATCCAAGCCGGGTCAGAGAGTTCAAGCCTGACAAACAATGTCATTCAATCTCAATTCCAGAGTTTTATGCCCATCGAGTGAACGAGCTGCGAGATCTTTGATCAACTGTTCAACCAACACCACTCTCCGTTGTCCAGACACGGCACTCTCAACCACGACACGGCTTAGCTCCTTGTACATCCCATCAATTTTGTTGGCCAGCAGGTCGTGAATCTTGCGAACTGCCATGCCACCGAATTTGTGGTAGAAGAGGATCGCTCCAAACCCAAACAGGAGGATTCCCACCACCAAAATGCCAAAGATATATACGTCTTCCGAATCTTCAATGGACAGGGTCGACAGACAGAGGGGCTGAAACTTGTTCCAGCTGTCAAGAGTATACCCCGCCGGTGAAGTCCCGTCCGGGCACACGGGCTCTCCAGACCCACGCTTACGTGTTGAAAAGATAGAATCAATTGCGTTGAGGGACCAATTAATCATTTCCATTCTGTTAAAGTTGTCTGTGGCAAAACTCCAGGAAAAAAGACAAAAACAGGAGATAGCAAGCCGTTCAGAAGCAGGAGCGGACTAAGACACGTCTTTGCTCGACGGAGGAGGAAGTGAGAAGCTTCATCACACTGTCGCTGGATTCAGCCGCTCTTATTTTCTCTGTCTCTTCAAAACTGCGTAATTTAGTCTTGAATTCCGCAAACGTGGTGGTATCATCTGTATGTGCCACATGTATTGTGAATGGCTTATAACTTTCAGGCAGTCCTTTTAAAACCATAGCCACTAGCAAGCCGTCTCCCAACGTCTCACCTGCGTTGCGCAGTGCTGTAATGGCGGTCTCTGCTCTTATTATGTAATCCATTACACTTTCGTCGTTTGCCTTCTGAAGTGATGTCAACGTGGTGTAGAGGTTGATAATACGGGGCTTTCCCTTCCCCGCATAATACTCTCTCAATATTTTCAGAGCTCCTCTTCCATTGTTGGGCGCGTCCCTCATTACTAAGGAAAGGCTTTTATCATCTAGCAGTAAAATGAACTCTGCATATGCGTCAGCATTTTTCTTCGGGTCGGCTGCTATCTCGGCCTCTGAAGCTGGTTCTCTCAGCACTGTGTCCTTTAGCCCGGATAAATGAAAATGTCCCAACATTTTAGTCTCCCAAAGTTCATACTTAGTCTCATCTCCGTCGAACGTCAGTGGAGGCAACCTTCTTCGTTGTTCCGCCATGTTAGCCCGTTCTGTTTCTTCGATAGCAGTCCGTTAGCACGCGGTCCGTTGCGACTTTCTAAACTGTGACAAACTTATCTTCCGAACGACTCCTGGGCCCATAACCTGTTGAGTTATGCCTCAATGTTGCAGCTAACGTTGCATTCGGATGAATAGAGGGAACAATGGAGATGAGCCATCTTTAGCCTTATGGCATATTTATTCCTTCACTGCAGACACATCAGTCTCACGGTCATACAGCTACTAACACTAAGTTGAACTCAGGCAAGATCACTAGAACAAGACGTTATGCGTCAACCTGCATCACAGCGCCCTCGTGTGACATAATAAGCATACATAACACATAACAGTATGACATAACATTCACATATACAACTGAGGACATAATGAACATATCTTAACACCCAGCTTTAAATAAATATTTCCACATAAGCCTAATGTAATGTTACACAACTGAAGGACACAACCAAGCAACAGAATGAAGGGAACATAATGTCCATTACATTCTCAAGCAGCTGAACAACACAGCTGCTTTTCTCGGAAGAGGACATCCGGGAGTCTGGAAGTGAAACCCCCCATGTGGACTTGTTTTTGTCCATGGCTTGTTCAAGGTTGCAGCAATGATGTCACGACCACCCTAACTCCACCCATACCCTCCCTACACTTTCACCGCATCAGCAAAACAAACCAAATAGGCTTCGATGGGGGGAATAAAAGACATGTGGACGGGCTGATGGTGATGGTATGTTTATGTTGTTACTATCTTATGTTTATATGTGGGAAATCTTACGCTCGTGACCGACATTTGTCTTACTTAGCCGCCCACTACTGTTGATAGCGGCTGTGATGCGTTCGTGCATGACGTAAAATCCCGACTGATGTCATAACCAGTTGTCTTTTAAAAATTCAGCATGCTTATCTGATGTCTTTTAACACATTGGATGACATAAGATACGTATTTTAAGGCAAGGGAGATGATGTTCTTATTTTTGTATTGGGTTATTGAAAGACACAAACGTTTTCATGCTTTGGGACGTGAATGCGCCACAGCTGACAGACACGAATCCGGAGCAAAGCGGTATGAACCAGCTTCGTCAAGCAGCACAAAGTTACACGGAGTTAAACTTTAAAAATAAAAGCCCAATAAATGATTAAAGATGGTCAAGTCATACCAGGCAAGCGTTTACAAGAAATGTGTTGAGTCATCATCAAAGAAACGTGGTGTAACATTATAATATGGCATGTTATCTGGACAATAAAATTACAAAGTTCAGTGATTATGTTGCATTAAATGAAGACGACACAGTACAATATTGCTACAGCATACATTCACCATATTCAGGGTAGCTACAGGCAGATTAAAAATACAAACAAATAATATAATACTGAGATGGAGTCAAAATTAAGGCCTTAGAATTTGACTTTGTGGGACTGTGGCATTTTTAAGCTGAAATGTGCTTGGCCTGGGTGGGGTTTTATGCAGTGTGATTGCCTTCTTTTCTCAGTCTATACTTTTGTTTCAACAGATAATGGGAAAGTTTCAAATGTACATGGGTTCATATAATCATGGAAAACTTTGAAAGGCCATTGTAAATAGGAATCATGCCAGACAAGGCTTTGGGAATATAAGATAATAAAATTGGCAATTGGCATAAAATGCAATAGTCATGATAGTATTATTTTTTCTTTGAACTTCAATATAAATACATCTGCATTTTGACGCAAACAATGACTTATCACAGTTTTTTATGAAGTATATTTTACTCTCTGACTAGTCAGTGAGTAATGCTACTGCTACTACGACTACCAGCAGTTACTCAATTGTTATATTACATTCCTAGTTACTGGGATAAGAATTTAATTTGTGTTACTGTTTTAAACATAGAGTTGCACTACTTTTAGTTACTTTTTGGTTTCAACTTCTGAGGTATTCTACTTCAAAGAGTTATAAATTAAGTAATATAATAAAAAAGTGAGTAGATACTCAGTCTCAACACTGACCGCTACTACTACCCCTACTACCCATTGATCTATAATAATAACTACCACTAATAATCTCTTGAGTCTTTTACTTTGAAAGACTTTCCCGGAAGCGTCTGTTACTTCCGGTTATCTCTACAGCGCGATGATCTTACCGCTCAAAGCATCAACAGCTGCGATTTCACCTTTTGTTTACAGGCTTGTCTCTGACCGCAGCGCTGTAATATCATCCAGGAAATACCTGCATTCGTTTTCAGAAGTATTTTAGCCCATCGAGGTGAAGTTTACTTCAACACAAGCGGTAGAAGAAGGCATGGATACCGGCGGAATTAACACCAGGCTTATATCTGGCTTTCGCCCTGTCAGACGCCTCTCTGCTGGATAACGCTTCATGATTTTTGATCAATTACACATTGTCAAAAATCTGCCAAAGGACGACTACAGTGCCAATACGAAAACAAGGTTTGTTTTAATGCTCATTCTGTTTGCCTACTTTTGTATACATTACTAATACTTCACTAAAACAGGACTACACTAAAACAATGATTAATATAAGACAAAAGCAACGATTATAAACCAGACTAAAGCAGGACAAAAAAAGGACAACCAGGACAAAAAAAGGACTGAATCATTGACTGAAGCAGGACTGAGGCAGGAGTAAACAGGAGTAAACAGGAGTAAACAGGAGTAAACAGGAGTAAACAGGAGTAAAGCAGAACTAGGGCAGGACTAGAGCACTAGCGACTACCGGTGGATTTTTTTTTTCTTCACATCTGCACATTTGAACCGGAATATAACGGGTTTAACACGTGACTGAATCAGACCCAAGTCGATTATAAACTAATCTATACACCATAATATGTTTATCAAGCGTCTGCATGTCTGATTTTTAGTACCCCTTATCAGTACATTTGTCACGTACACGTGCAGATCGAACTAGTACATGCTTTTATTACAGTACACAGATCACACAGTTCAGTATGTGGATTGAATAATATAGCCCCCAGGTCACAACTAACTAAACCATAAGTAAAGGGACAAACCCAACTAAACGACATTTTCTACGAAGTTTAACATCTTTAATTTTTTTATTTAACCTTTATTTAACCAGGAGAACCTCATTGAGATTAATAATCTCTTTTTCAAGAGTGTCCTGGACAAGAGGCAACACATTCAACATACATTTACAACATAAAGAAATAAATGCTAAAATAAAAAAAAAAATAGACACTGAGATTACACATGTAACCATACACATCAAATGAAACCAATAAAACACCAAAAAAAGAATATATTTCATATAAAACAGGTACAATGTGCAGATTGTTCATCTAAAACATATTTGAACTGTCCAGAAGGCTTTTTGTAAGCGTTCTGTTTTTATTCTTATAAATTCAATGAAAAAAACAATGTCAAATTCTGTTGGAACGATGTTGTTATGATTTTAATTTGATGAGGAACTTAAATTATAGATCCTCATTTTAAGTTGGCATAGTTAGATTTTGCACACTTGTACAGGATATGAACATTAATGAGACTTGTCATTATGTTGAACTGCAACTGCTTTGTGTATTGGCTTCTGGAGGTCAGTTTGACATCTCTATAATCCACATGGCAATTCCACAGGGCAGATAAACAGAGGCGTCAGACTGCCTGTGCTGTAGATCAAATAAAGCACTCTTGCTGACTGTTATAAAACCATATGAACGCTGTAAAAACTCTGATCGTGTTGTTCAACTGCAACAACACATGTCTTTTGAGCATTGACTGTAGGAGTGGACTTCTTGCTGAAGAAGCCAATTAGAGCTAACTTAAATAGCTTTTTTCTGGAGCCAATTATGGGGATGGCAATAACCTAGTAACCAAGAGCCAATCAGCAGCGTTCCTTGTTTGTAATTAGCAAGCTTAAGCCAAATTCACGGACAGAAGGCACCTGATTGGTCAGTTGTTAGGGTACTTATCTGGATCAGGTCCCGGTTCAAAAGGGTCCATGAGCACGTGCGCTGACATGCTTGCGATCTCACTCCAGGCCGGTGGGGGTGGACCCAGAAAGAGAATTACCCAACCATTTGTATGCCGCCTTCTTTCTTCTTGAAAACGGCTTCACAGTCCAAAAGTCAGCTCCTGGCCCAACAACAAAAACTGAGTTCCAGATGTGTGTCAATGCAGCCTAGCTTAGCCGCTGTGGACTTTTGAATGCACTTGTTAAATGAATGGGGCTCATGCCATCTGTGCAAATCTGTTAGGAAGCCATTTTGAAAAAGCCCACAGAAGGCAAAAGAAGTGGCACATTAGTGTCAACAGTGAAGATAGGCGTGACTATGTCCGTTAATATTTACAGTCTATGATCTGGATTTACAAAGACCATATAAACGATAAACACAATAAAGCACCATACTCTTTAAGATAAAATTTAAAGAGTGGTACAAGCAGTTACATGGTGGGAGAGGTTTCCATGAGCACTTCCATATCAAGCTTTACAGATCTAGAGGCATAACATTATTCAGACATTCTATGCTTCCTGTTATCCCTGTTATATCCAAAAGTAAATGGATCAGATCAGGGAAGTTAAACCAGAGAAAAATCGGGCAGACTGTAAGGAACTGGTTGTTGTAAGTGTATGTACCTGTAATGATTATCTAGCTCTGTTTTTGTATTCCCTTCATCCAACCAACAATGTAGAAGTCAAGTCATATAAAGCATATATTCCTTTTCTGATCCAAAACAATTAACTGGTTACATTAAAGCCTGACCCTGAAAATGTTTGAAACCTTAGGATGATGGGACTTGTTTTCAATAAGTAACATCCATTGTAATAAAAATATAAATGCTGCTAATACTAGATACCTAGATGGATGCCCTCAAGCACAACAGCTAACTCAAAAGGAGGTCAACACTGAGGGTGGAGTTTCCATCACAAATGTTGTTGGTGTTTTTCAGATTGTGTTTGCTGCCAATCCTTCAGTGCCTGTTTGAACTATGGAGACAGCTCAGGTGAATCTAGTGGTGAGAGGAGACACATCAACAGGTATGACCCATCATTTTACTTCTAAAAAGGGTAAACGGTTGTCACCATTGTTTCGGTTATTTATCGTTTTGGTTCTATATTATGTTTTAATTTCTCTTGAAACATTTGACAAGATAAGTACATCTGTAATTACGGCTGGTCTGTGCGGGCCTCAAAGCTATGATCAGAGTTTATTGGTCACTAAACGACCTCATGAAGGCCAAGGGGCACACCATCAAGGTTAGGGGTGACGTGAGAAGTTTGAAGCATGGTTAGGTTATACACATGGGTGCACATAACTTTTTGAGTGAGGTACTCAGATGAGTACCAGGAGATAGTGTTTGGTACTCGCTCCATTTGTCGCGTGGTTCTTAATCGAGATTTTATACTACGTCTTTTTAATGCTAAAGTTTAGATCAGCTCAGCTAATCCACTCAATCCAAGTCAAATAATGACTCACAAGGCTCTTTCTTAAAAAACAAAACAAAACACAATCTTCTGTTTTGGGGTGAAGGCAGTGCAGAGCGTATTTACAGTAAACTTAGCAAAAAAACAACAAGTTCACAGAGACACATAGGTCACCTTTAAGTTTCAAGTTACCTCCTCTGTAGACAGTGCCAAACACGGCTCCTCTTTATATTCCCCTTGCCCCTCTCATTGAGCAAATTATTTTGGTAGAAATTGGTAGTATAAACAGGTGATGTGCGCATTTAATTGCACACATTATATGGGCATAATTCCCGCTCCCCCAGGGCGCATTAAACCCACCAGGAAATAGTGTCCTGGTTTGATCCTCGCGCACAGACCCAGAGGAGCGCGAAAGACCGGTAAATGTGTGCTTGAATGTATTTCTAACCCGCACAAGTGTACACCTTTGGCGAGCTATAATTGAGGGGAGAGGCAGACGAGAGAATGGATGATGCATGTCGATGTTATGTATGAATAGAACGGGAAGGAAAAAGGGTGTGCGAGTGTGGAATGGCGTTTGTGTGTGCGTGCAGGTGTATGTGTGTGGCGCCTGCGGCATGAAAGTCAGCCTTAGTATAATACTGTATTCGCGCACGGAGCTAGAGACGAACCCCCTCCGGCATTGCACCACGTCCCCCTAGGGAGAAGCGCCCCACACTATTTGAGAAGGCCTGGTCTATGGTCTATGTGAAGTACCCAAAGGCGCTTACTGACTCAAGTGATAGTACACATTTTTTATATTTGTCGCGCATGCGCATGCGTACCTGCGTACTTATGTGCACCCCTGGTTATACAAATATTTCCAAAGCACTGAACATCTCACATAGCATTTTCAAATACATTGTGCGGGAATGAAAGAGTATGGCACATCTGCAAATCTACCAAGACTCGGCTGTCTGCCCAAACTCAGACCGCGGAACAGGGACTACACTCACAGATGCAGACAGGAGGCCCATAGTTACTCTGGATCGGCACAAGTATCATCTCTGGTGCAGACGGGAGACTGCCTTTGCACAGGCAGCGATATTAATGCTGATATCATATACCACTCGGCTCTGGCTCTGGAGTGCACCTGCCATTTTGAATTGCGCTTTCATTTAGCTGCAGCATAATAAATTAGAATCGTTTAGATAACCATGCACTTTGGCTAATTTCAGGCGAGGTCATAGCAGTAGTGGGAAGTTGTGATGCTTTGGGAGGCTGGAGCCATCAAAAAGCAATCACTCTGCACCCTTCGGAAGGCGATACGTAAGTGTGACCTTTTTGTGTTTTCTGATAACGTGTAATATCTCAAAACCATTTCCAATTTCTTTTTTTTCTAAAACAGCGGCACGTGGACCGCCACCGTTCATGTGCCGAAGGGAGCCGTTCTCAACTATAGATATTTCAAAGCCTTCTTCTTGGAGTCTAAGGTAATACATGCTCACGTCTTTACAGATTGACTGGATGATTGTTGTGTCTGTCTCTTTAATTATACTGTGTGCTAAACATTTGCTAACATAACTTCAGTAACTACGGCTATAATTTCTAAAACTTGTGAAACCTGTCTTGTTGTTTATAATCCAAGCTTCAGTTTATGCTTTGTTGCTTTGGACACACGATTAACACACAGAAGGTACTCTGTCAATAGTCCACACCTTGTAATTATATTCTTTGCCACTTTTCAAACACAAAGAAATCTGCTAATCTTTAAATAGGCAGTCTGGAAATCAAACATACAGTACATACAGTAAATCAGAATCCATAAATCTTCTCGTGTTTTCTCGGGTGGAGCCCTCTGCACTGGGAGTGATGGTCGCCTACAGGGGTCTGGCTCATGACCCAGCCCCATCTCTTCTCTGGTTCCTGTGATGTCACTTGTGGTTACAGGCGGCTCTTGGCTAGATCCCGGTGTAGACGGCTCCTTAGATAGTGGTTCCTTGGCTGGTTTTACCGGCACTCGACCTCCATGTTTTCATATATTTTATAGTTTTATGCTTTTTGTGTGTGCGCTGTTTGGGGATGGTCTGTTGGATCCTGGCTTGATGGGTCGATGTTTTTAGATGTTTAAGCACTTTGCGTTATGTTATTGTATGAAAAGGGCTTTATAAATATTGATTGACAGAATTAATGTCAAAGCAAAACACTTCCACTTTTAAGATTTCACCCCACGATGGCTGTGGGGACTGGATTGATACCAGTTCATAACATCTTTTTTCATTGACTTTTGAAAATCCCAAATAACCAGTTTTGGACGGGCCTGATCTTGAAACACCATACCATGTGTTCTATGAAAACCCTAACACTAAACGTTGAACTTGCAGAGTGCAGGCGGGCCCTGTCAAGTGATAGTCAATGTGTGGGAGACGCATCTCCACCCACGCATCATGGCCCCCACAGGTATACTACTACAAATACAACAACTAATACCGCATCAACTTTGTGGTTGGGCAAGAAGATGTTCCCAATTTAAGTATTAAAGCTGAACTAACTGACTTTATTTTTGTATTCATTACGAAAATGCAATCCATATCCATGCAATGCATTGGGATATACGTCCTTTTTGAAGAAAAAGTAGCGCAGATTTGTGCTGGCGTGTCATTTAATTTTAGTTCGAGGAAGAGAATGTGTTTCGGGTCCCGATTGTGACCAATCACAGCGGACCACTGGCCCCCGCTTTCTTGAAAAAAGCTACAGGTTTCTTGTTAGCACAGACAGCTCAGGTAAACAAGCGGCGGAGGCTAACCTGAAACTCCCCGTGTCTTCGTTACCGGTTACTGCTTACTCAGTGAAACAGCCATCCTAAAGAAAGTCCCGTCCTCTCCGCGCTTCCCGGTTCTATCATTCTATGGTCACGCCATCCACGTTCAAATGTGCAATCCATACATGGATCCATCCATGAGACGCTAGCTAACAACAGTGTATGTGGGGTAGTGGGGGGCGATAGCTTCGTGGGTGCGGGAAGGAGAGGAAAAAGAGCGAGGCCAGCGAAACCCCTGCTTCGAAATCCCAAAGTCAGTTAGTCAGCTTTAAGCATGGAGTTTTTTTGATTGACTAAGGTTGAGTCCCATTCCTCACAAATTTACTTCTAAAATCCTATACTCTTGAGGAGACTTGATCAAATCAAGTTTTTTTTTGATCCAACCAAACTAATATCAATAATTTCTTGCACAAACATGTACGACATTTTTTTAAAAGTTCTTGTCTCAGTCTTGTAATGGTATGATGTCAATTATGATGTAATTTGGTAATTTCACAAGGGATCATTTCCATATTACAATAACATAGCTCCGTCTGGTGGTAACATAAGAAGTTACAGGCAAAGTGCACCTTTTTTACCCTTCTTACTTGTTTCTCCGTATATTTTCAACTTGAGATATTATTTCACATTCAAAAACATGACTCTAAATAGCTTCATTATGATTTTGAATGACCACAAAGTTCTGCGTAATATTATTCTTTAAAGGGGACTTCTTCTGCAAAGATGTTTCTGTCCATGCATTGTTCCCTCATCATTAACAGACCTGCAGTTGTTTGTAAATTCATCATTATGAGGATTTTCTGACACAAACATTGGGCCCCGCCCTTTTGGTCTGAATTACTCACACGCCATACACAGAACCATTTCCTGCCCTTTAAACAAAAGTATTTCTCTAAAAGAGAATTATATGAATAAAAGTATAAAGCAATAACAAGACACTATTTTTCTATATTTTCTATTTAAGAAATAATTTTACATTCTAAACATGAAATGAAAAGTTGCATTATTAGTATTAGTATTATCAACTATCATGTTTAAGGGCAAAAACTATTATAATGAAATGTATGAAAGATTTGCAGTTTGTTGGACGTTGTTTATTGTTTGATGCAATGCATTAACTAATTTCACTCCTTTCACTCACAATATTTCTAACAATATTTAAAACTCAAAAGTATACTACAGAATAGATTGTTTCCTTACAAAGGTCAAAACATTGTATTTACAATAAGATCTTCCCCCGCACACTTTTGCTTCTTCTTTTGAATTCACAAGACCTGTTTTATGGTTAATGCCTGTAATTACTGCTGACACAGGAAAACATCTTCTCTGTCAGCGCAAACATAGATTCACCAAATATTTATCTTTGGAAAGACACAATTGAGTTCGTTTTAGGTTTTATCCATGTCACAACATTGTTCCCTCATCAAAAAGATCTGGAGTTGTTTTTAGTTGCATACAAGGAATTCTCTACACAAATTAACCCCCTCACAGACCGCTCCGTGTTAAATCTGTTCGATCTTTTACATCACATAGCCAGAGCTGTCGGCATGTTTTCTAACTTCGTTCTCCCTTCACTAGTGGATATGTGCTAGCTACCAGTCTCCAATAAATTACCCGGAAGCCTCAGTTTCATTCTTTTTTTCAATATTTACGGCAATGTGTATTGTGTCCTTTTTATTATTAATTGTGTATGACAAGGGACAGTGTACATTCATGAACATTACTGTCAATGTACCAGAATTCTTCATGGGGATTTAAAAAAATAAAATAAATCCCTGCTGTCCCTGGAATGATTTTAAAGAAGCAGAAAGAAAGAGGAAAAAAAAATAGAAGTACAATAGAAGATAGCATTATAACAGACACTTTATTATCCTATCAATAATAACAGTGTGCATTAGCAATAACCAAAACTAGAAAACCTTGGGTATGGTTATTCAGTTAATCGTAACTTGTACAAGGTTCAAATGAAATCAACACATTTGGACGGACGGTTACTGTTGCATGTCTGGTTTAACATGGCTGAACACATTTGACGTTACTTGCATTGGCCGTTTTATTTTCCATTGACACCAGGAACTAGCAGTGCTGAGCCCACTAGGATTCTGAAAGGCTCCTGGTTTTTCAATACCAAAACATGTATACCTAGTTTAACAAGAATACAAAGTGGTGCCATTAGGTTTCCATCGAAATGCCCCACTTTTTTTCTGCATTTCTAATGTTTTTCTCTTTGTTACAGCTGCCCACCAGAATATTGATGACGGCCATTTCGGAATCCACAGTAAGTTCAGTGCTATTGTCTGATTTTGTGCTCATTCATTATAACTCGAAGAATACTGTTCATTTGATTGGGTACACTGAGTCCATTTGGGTCGCCGCTTTAGCTGCCATTGTCTGTTCAGCATTCACAGAGACAAAGGGGTTAGATTGTCACAGAAATGCTTCCTGTCTATGGTTGGACATACAGTATTGGCTATGGTATTGTTGTTAACTGCTGGTGACTGCTTGTAAATAATATATCACGCATGGATCATTAGTTTGAATATTTTAGTTTTAAATGTTAAACACAAACTAATTATTATGACTTTAATTTAAAGAGCGACTAAACACCTGTGCCCAGCCTTACTCCGCCCACATGAAGATTTGAAAATTTTCTCTAAAAAGGGCGTTGTCTGGAGGACTAAGGGACAAGAAGGGGGGCTTAGAGTTGGGCGTGGTCTGGGCTGTGATTGACAGCTCACTTGTCACACAAAAAAAACAGACAGTTGTCATTGCTGCTTAAAGCAATAGTTTACAGACCAGCAAGTCTCATTCCACCCTTGTTTACACACTAAGATAATTGTAAAGCTACACACCTGAACCTAATCACACTCAATAATCTCAGAATGACTCATGTAATTTAATTTTAATCCACTAGATGGCGCCAGAATACTCCAAACTGCAGCTGGGGCGTTTGTGAGAGTTGAATGGGTTCACATTTGCCTGGCCTGCCAGACACTCCTCCTTTCTGTTCAAAAGAAGAACCGTCTGGACACCTCTTCCTAGCCTATCATTTCACGATTTTACCCACATCGGTCCAATCACGCACCGAGAGGCGGGACTTCCTTTCACCTTTGAGTTGCTAATAACTCCTCGTATCTTTAAGTTTTTGTTACAAAATCGACAGCAGTCGTTTACATTTGCACTAGCTGACATGCCGCCATCCCTTGTTTTGTGTTTACTGAAACGGCTTGGGTGCCGCTAGTTGCTGCGTCATATCCTGTGTGCATCTAATTGGTTGATGCAGTCTGTCAACCACGCCCACCGGGAATTCGCTGAGATCAAGCTCGTTCCCAGACTATATGTCTTTGAAAAAGCATATCGTTTGGCAGGCCAGGCAAGGTTCACATCACTGGCTCTGACAGACTGACGTTACACAAAACAACTGATGTCATAGAGAACTTCAGAGTCAATGGAGAGGCCAGAACCAAATTCAAATGTAGTACCACCAAAAAGGTTGAGAGGGCACCACACAGCGTTTTTTGGCTCAAAAGTGATATTTTATCTAATTTGAACTAAAATGTCAAAAGAATGACCAGGATATGTAGACAGCACTACAATAAACATACTTATGCAGTTTATGAGTTAAAAAAAGTGGATTTGGTGTTTAGTCGCTCTTTAAAACAACTAAAGTCCGTTTTAAAACTACTGGAAATTTACTCCTCTCCTCTCTCAATAGACCTGTTCTATGTTTTCTGTGCATCTTGGCAACGGAGTGGCTTTATTATGAAACCACACATACATGATTTAAGAGGACCACTGTAGACACACGTGTATTCTTGATAATGTCTTGAGTCCAATTCTGCTGGTGGATATGATGGCTAACTCTGGCCGCTGATTATTGCCAGGCCTCTGTTGCCTCTGTTGCTTCTGTTGATCTGACATGGCTGAGAGTCCCTTGGTGTGCTAGAACTTCAGTGCTTGTTCAGTATTTGGGGTTAAAACAACTGTAAATGCAGCGACTTGGTATTTGGATGCACTGACCCTACTGGTATAAACGACACGGGTAAACGCAGTACTTCGTCGCCTTATTGCACGCAGTGAAGAAGAGTTCCATTCATCCAACAGCCTGTGAATGTGTGAAGGACTAAAAACTGTTTCAAATTGAAGGTTTGAAACTGGTTATGACTGTCTGGTTCATCAGGCTGAATTTTAAAGTGCAATCAGAACAGTTGCAGCCCTACAGTATATGAATGTATGGTGTGTCATATGGTGAAGGAAAGCAATGACCCAGTTTTAAAGACCACACAAATACTGTATATTAGGATATCATTTGGCAACAAACCAATCCAAAGACAAGCAGCTGTAGAGAGTCTATAATGCTCTCTTCACCTTTCTATAGATGGTGTGAGATGCGTTGACTCCGGGTGGCTCACGTGCCAGACTGAAATTCGCCTCCGTCTGCACTATTCGAAGACTCTTCCGGTTTCCATCACCAAGAAGAAATTCAAGAAGTCTCGTTTCAGGTAAGGGATCACTGGGTTGGCCGACATCGTAACCCGACACCGCTGCAGTGAAAGTTTAAACTAGAAAGCATCCAGCACTACTCAATCTCCTAGACACAATTATATCCTGCTTACATTATTATTGCAAGGTTTTTATGTTGTTTGTCTAAAAAGAGGACATGGAAAATCTTCTATCTCAGTGTGTAGATGAAACTTATCCTGTCGAAGTGGATTTTACTTAATTTGTTGTAAATGCACATTGATTTTTAAATTAGTTCTAAATGTAGTGAAGTGTTTGCTCTGAGTTTGTAATTATGGTGAGAACTGAAAGACAGAAAGTTCTCAGATTCCCTGGACATTATTTGAGCAGATTGTAAGTTGATTTAAGTCCTGCAGTTTAAGAACCGGACATTAGATACAATCCTCATGGCTTTTTCAAGGCTGTAAGTGAGACTTGGTATTAACTAAATTGGTTTTTGAAAGAATTTTGAAACTATTTTTCACAGACAACGTATGTAGGTTTCCAGGTGATGTTTTTGTATATTATAACTTAGTTCTGACCAAGTTTATACATTTTCTTTAAACCAATAATTGACGTTCGGTTGTATTATTATTTTTTGGATTCTGTTCTGCTGAAATTATATGTATGCCCTGTATATTTATATCATATGTCCTGTTCTGTATATTAAATCATATGTATACTAAATAGTTTAAGGCCAAGATATGCAACTCCTCAACAAGTGGGCGATGAAACACAAACCTTGATAAATATTCCCCTCACTGTTCCCAGGATCAAACTGACATTGGAGGGTGTTGAGGAGGAGGAGGAGGATGAGGAAGAGGGGCATAAAATGGCCACCACGTTGGGCATCAGCATGATCAGCGCCGGAGAATACAAGTCACGTCACTCCCAGCCCGAATGCGGCTACGCGCTGGAGCCGGGGCGCTGGACAGAGTACAGCCTCCACACCATGGACCCTGACAACCTGGAGCTCACACTGGAATTCTTCGAGGAGGACCTAGGCGAGCATGTGGTGCAGGGGGACGCCCAGCCGGGGTACGTGGGGACCGCCTGCCTCCTCTCTTCCTCCTTCCTGGAAAGCGGCAAGGACATTGGAGTGATGACCCTGCCCATCATGGGGCGCAACTCCAGACAGACCATTGGGAAAGTGAAAGGTAGTCCTGACACAGTTATTACTATATCAACTTATTGTTTAATATTTATGGATAAAACTATATATTTTGGAGATGTACAGTATTGTATTATCATCCCATCATTGTCATTGGCAATCAAGTAACTTTTTATGGTATCAGTAACTTTGAATTCAAATTTTTGCATTTGAATCCTTTAATTTGAGCCATACAAGATTATAACATTCTCCGCCATACAGAAAACATTTTACACACTTACGTAGGCAACAAGAGAATGAAAAACAAAACAGATTTGATTTCTCATGTAATACAGAATGTACATTTGTAAAATTTTCCATTTTGGTCAGACTAACATTTTGTACTTCTCTATACATTTAGCATTAAATATATGGAAAAGCACATTACTGGAAGATCAGGTTTGAAAGTAATTTGGCTTTGTCCACAGTGGATTATTTGGTCATCCGTCCGATTCGCGGTCAGCAGTGCGACATGAGCTCATCGTTTGCAAAATACTGGAAGAAGAGAAGCACCTTGGACGTGGGACACAGAGGAGCTGGCAGCACACATTCAGACAAGTGAGAGTGACTGCCTTTTCATTAGTAAATAGTTTATTGACCTTTTCATCATGAACTGACATTGAGTAAAGGTACCATAACATTGACTTTCCTGTCAAAATACAGTAGTATAAGTACTATAGTATTGAGTTTTTAACCATGTTACAATGTGGTTCCTTTATCAAAACATTCATGGAGATATTTTTTAGCTGCTGTCTGTATAAGCACTTTTGGCAAACCAACACAAAAAAACGTCCTCTTGCCCAATCTGTCCAGAAATTTTCTGGATTTCAAGCGACTGTAAGTAAGCTATGAGGAGTCCTTAGACCAGGGGCATCCAGAAGGGGCCGTGGTTTGCGAGTTGGTTGCGCACTGCCAACCAACACCACTCAGAGTTTGACAGCTCTGCCTTGGACTTAGGCTCTTTTGTCCATGAAGTCTTTTATCCTTTAAAGCAAACGTATCGCCTCCAAATTTGTTTTTACTCCTTTTTCCACTACATACACTACATGTATTTTTCATAGACTGTAAATACTAACGGACGTAGTCACGCCTATCTCCACCATTCTAACTAATGTGCCACATTTTCAGCGGGCTATGGGCAGTTTCAGGGCTGGAAAATGTGAAAACACGCATCTGTGCGTCAGCCGGCACAAGCCCCACTCATTTAAACGAGTGACTTCAAAAATTCACAGCGACTAAACTAGACTGGTCCAAAAAATTCACCCCCCTCAGCATTGACACACATGTGGAACGGAGATTTGGACCAAGAGCCAACTTTTGGACCGTCCTGTAAAGACGTTTTCGAGAGGTCTGCCAATGCTATATGTTAGCAGTGGCTAATTCTTATTCCGGGTCCACCCCCATCGGTCCGGGGTGAGATTGCCAGCATGTCAGCGCACGTCATTTTGGCCACTTAAAATGTATTTATCCATTAAAATGTATCCTTGTTTATCTATGATTTGAAGCACAACTGACTGCATATGGTAGATAGAAGTACTACCCAATGCAGATCAAACTTTTAACCCCAGCATTTGTCTTACTGTTTTCAGGCATCACCGCATCAGGGAGAACACGATAGCTTCTTTCGCAAGTGCAGCCAAGAACGTAGGTTTCACTTGAATAAAATATAGTTTATATGCTATATATATATATAAACTTGTATTGTAAAATGGCTCATCTGTGTCTGTATTATCAGGGCGCAGCGTATGTCGAGTTTGACGTTCATCTTTCAAAAGATGCTGTTCCAATTGTGTTCCACGATCTGACCTGCTGCATCGCAACTAAGAAGAAGGTTTGTAGATTTTTTTGTTGCTATTATTGGAATCTTAATGGTTAATTCAAAAATAAAAAAGAAAAAAACCCTGTTAAAGGGGCAGAAATCGGATTGATACGGTGGGACTGAATATGTGGACTCATTTATTTTAAAACATCCTTTAAGTTTCAATATTGAGATTTCAAACATACCAGATATTTGAAAATGATCCACAGGTGTCATGGGTGAGATTATCACAGAAGCATGTTATGTCTTCTATTATGTACATTGGTAGAGGTAGCATAACACAATGATTACCCAATGAACACAAATATGGCCTTGCAGTTCAGATCAAACCATTCCTTTCTGTTTTCAGTGTAAATCTGTTTTTTTCTTCTTGTGATAATAATTTTTGATTTGTTTATTTTTTTTTACAGTAAAAAGGTTTCTTAAGGACTTTATGTTCATGTTATATTCAAATTAAGCCTGAAGTATTGGTCTGAAAAATCAGGAGTTTTGTTGCTTGTTTGGTTGATAAACAATAGCCCTTTACAAACTGCACACACGGAGGATCCTCTCTGGGCTCTGTGCTGTACACACACGCATACATAAAGGAACTTATAAACTTTGCTACATTAGGCGTTGGGGGGACACACATCCGTGGGCCGTTAACTCTACCGAATTGAGAAAAAGCGCATTTAGTTTTGGACGGTGCATATTGTCGACGCTGTATTCACTGCATGTTTAACCTAATGCGCGCCATACTTAAACATGGAAAAGTTAAAGAAAAGCACGTGGGGAGCGCTGGGGCTCCACTGGGGCTCCACTAGGGTTCCACTGGGGCTCCACTGGGCCTCCACTGGGGCTCCATTAGAACTTCATTGGGGCTTCATCTGCACTCTGACACTCTGTTGACGCTGGAGGCAGCTCTTCCCAGAGGATCTGCGGCGCTCCTTGTCTGAGATGCTGTGTAAACAGACAGTGCTCTAGATTATAACGAGAAAACTCCGGGTAGACGTGCATGTTTGTGAAGGGCTAATAAGTGTTTTCACAGAAAAATGACAAAACCCTGGAGCTTGTCGAGGTTCCTGTAAAAGACTTGACATTTGACCAACTTCAGCTCCTAAAGGTGAGTTTTATCACTGATTCAAAGCGGTTACATTTAGCAATAAGTTCACATGGTCTATGTCAGTGGTTCTCAAAGTGGGGGGTGTGAGATGGGTTCAAGAAAGAGTTCAAATGTTCACTGTATTTCACCAGTGTCATTAAGTATGACACTTGAAATTATTACTGCATTAAATGCTATTCAGTAGAGGGGCTCACGAGTATGTTTAATTCTTCTATATTTTGAAAAGTTTGAGAACCATTGATTGGTGACTTTAGTAGTACATAGGTTTATGTAAAATGATACCTGATAATACATTTCTCAAAAAAAAAAACCTAAAAAAAAACCAAGGCATGCAGAAAAAACAAGTTGTTTTCTGCAAGTCCTACTTGTTAGGACCAAAACAAAATTTCCCACTGGCAGCACGTCTTAGTCAAAGAATATCTTATGTATCCATTACAAGGAAGACGTAATGACATTATTTGTGTGGTCGAATAATGTCTTTGTTTGTGCCAAACAAAACTTCATCATTATAAAATGTAAAAACATATGTCCCAGCTGTAGGCGAGCTTGCATCTCCACAAACCTCACTCTTACTCGTCCTGCAGGCATTAAAAGACAGAGGACAGGAACAAACATAACATATATCAGACTCAATCAAAGCTCAGATGCCAGTGAGTCCGGATAAATCAGATGATACTTAGTTTTGAGCCTGCTGGTCAGTGTACATGGGGGGTTACAGAAGGCTTTAAAAAGTTTACTTTTAGCTTAGTCTCATAGTTCAGTCTCAGACAAGTCAGCAGGGATGTGGTGTCCCTGATATTTGTCTTCAGCCGTTTTACTTCCCGATTGGAAGTAGTCCTCCTTGCTCCAGACAAACAACCCTTATTAACTTTTATATTTTATGTCAAATTCTTATCCATACCGAGTGTAAACCTGCAGTAGCTCCTAAAATGTCAAAACATAACCAAACCATCTGTACATGGGTCACATAACAATTGTTGTGACTTAAAATTGTTGTATTGTACATTTAAACAGTTGGTATTTAAAGACACAAAAAAAATTGACTTTCATATATTTTCAAATTAATGCTAATTGTAATTAAGGGGTGGAAGAGGCTTATCAAATGCACAGCTAAAGTAGGCTGCATTTATCCTTTTAGTTCTTCTGATATTGTTTTTGATTATCGCAGCTGGATCATGTTGCTGCCATGAACGGAACAGACCACCGAGGTACACGCCACATGTTTTCTGTTGGTTTAGTCATAAAAAGGATGTTTGCATTTTTGTTCTAAATTCAATTACGCGGGTCATTTGAGCCAGCTATGCCTCACATGTCCCTTGTTCCGCTCAGAAATGGAGGATGAGGACGAAATAGACGAACACCAGCCCTTCCCTTCACTGTCCCAGGTGAAATGCTTCAACAAAACTATTTTTCCTCTCTGCTCTTCACCATAATATATATTTATACAGATTTAATTCTATTTCTTACAAATGTTTAAACGTCTTTTTCTTTTTTGACAGATCTTTCAAGCCGTGCCTGAGAATGTAGGATTCAACATTGAACTCAAATGGATCTGCCAAATGAAGGTTTGTATTCTTGGCTAAATTAAATGGTGTTCATCTACAGCACTAAGGAAAGCTTTATTTGAACGGATTTTTTTTATTGAAATTAATTTACAGCAACAAATTAATGCAATTTTCCCAGCCCTAGTTTATGTTTGTAAGAAAAAACTGAGACAAATATAATGCTTTTTTTTTTCTCCCTGAAAGTAAAATGAAAGTAAAAATTTATTTAAAAAAAATGTCATATGCAAAAGTTTATTTTGTGCGTTTCTTGCGTTCAGGATGGTGCGTGGGACGGAAACCTGTCGTCCTACTTCAACATGAACACCTTCCTGGACATTATTCTGTCCTGTGTGCTGCAGGGAGGTGGGAACAGGCGCATCGTCTTCTCCTCCTTTGACCCGGATATCTGCACCATGTGAGTGCAGCCTTCAAACTGTGGCTAAAGGGGCGTTCACACCGGACTTAACTTCGGCGTCAAAAGCGTCAGGTTTGCATTGAAAGTGAATGGTGAAGCGCGTCAGGTGAAGCCGAGGGGCCCGGCGTCACTTGACGCGCGAAACGCTCGCGTATCAAAACAATCCCTTTGACGCCGAAGCTGAGCAAAGCTGAGCTTTTGAAGCTTTGACGCGGGCTTCAACCAATCAGGAGACGAGGAGCAGCAGCAGCAGCTGCGGGTCTGTCTCTGTCATGGAGAGAAGTCATGTATCTGCTGCTGCTGTTTTATTGTCATTATTGTTATTAGTAATATTATTTGTATGAGTAGTAACGTTCTGAGTAACAAAAATCATTGTACACATGCTGTGTAGTAAACGTAGTTTATTTAATAAAAGAACAGGCTGACGATGAGTCTGGCTCAGAGCAAGGCAGCTCCGGACGGGCGAGAGCCGGGGAGAGGCAGTGAGATGCAGGGAGAGCCGGGGAGAGGCAGGAAGAGGCGAGAGCGAGGCGGGGAGAGGCGAGCTCCGGGGTTTGAGAACTCAGACTGGGCGAGTGACATGCGGAAGTACCGCTGAAAGCGAAACTCCTCCGTACGCAGCTCCTGGAGTAAATGACGGAACTCTGCAAACACTGCAGCCTCTCAAGTCTGTGGTGAACCCAGAACATGTTTTGTTGAAGCCCTACAACAACGTTATTTTGCTTTATATAACAAATAAAGGCTCGCTGCTCATTGAAAAATCCACCGCTGTCCTGACTACAGGCAACAGAGAAGCTCCTCCCACCGGCGTCAGGCGCGTCACTCGCGTCAAAAGCTTCAAGCACCAAAATGACAAAACTATCCCGGCGTCAGTTGAAGCGCGTCAAAAGCTTTTTGAAGCTTTTGGTCTGAACGAGAACGAAACTTTCTTTCTTTGGGACCATTTAAGGAGACAATATTTGTTTACAAATAGAGCTGCAGCTATTGATTCTGTTTTGTAACTTTGTAATCTCTCACTTTACACCTTACAACTTCATAAAAACTGTTTCACTATTCCAACTCGGTTATAATATTTAGTGTTATACACTAACAAAAAAACGCCAGTTTCATCCTCACCGTTTCTGCCCTCGATACGTTTTGAGAGCACATCCTCAAAAGAAAGAACAGAAAGTGCCACGAACACTGTCAAAGTACACTGTCGTAAACGAGGTTTCTGACAAACACTAAGTGCACTGAGCTGTTATACGTAATGAAACACTACACAAAACTACTAGTTGAACCATGTTTTCTAAATAAAGAATTGAGACAATAAATCATACATTCACTAAAAGAAATGAGTGCTGAAATGTTCTGAATTTGGGAAGACTACCTTTGTGTTACTTACTTTGTAACTAACTGTTCGTTTGAGTTCCTAAATAACATGTGGCTTATTTTCCTCCAGGGTCCGTAACAAACAAAACAAATACCCCATCCTGTTCCTGACGCAGGGCGTGTGTGCGCGATACCCGGAGCTCATGGACCTCCGCTGTCGGACCACACAGATCGCCATCAGCTTTGCCCAGAGCGAGAACATTCTGGTGAGCTCCCATAAGACAATATAAACTATCCAACTGTCCTGTAGGTGTGTACTTTATTAATATAAACGCTATTGTTATAATTAATTATTATATCATTTGTATTCGTATTTGCATTGAAGCAGGCGAGCAATCTGATTTTCTCAAGGGCTTTTGTAAACTCAGTCGTAGCCTCTCTCCATATTACACGGCCATCTTCATTTCTTTGTGAATGTTGCGTCTTCAGGGGATCAGCGCGCACACAGAGGAGCTGCTGAACAACCTGAACCTCATCGAGGAGGCGCAGTCTAAAGGTCTGGTGGTGTTCAGCTGGGGAGAAGACAACAACCACCACGAAACCAGGAGAACGCTGAGAGAGAAGTGCATCGACGGCCTCATATACGACCGGTGAGTTTGAAGACGTTCTGTGGTTCTTTCTACTTTATAGTGATAATAGATTCTAAGCCCCAGGCCTTAAAACAGGGCTCATGTCAATACAGCCAAAACTGAAAACCTGCTTCTTTGTTCTCAGAATATAAATTACCTGACTGTGTTTTCCTTTGCTTTGTCATAATAATTTGAAATATGCACCCGTTTGAGTTCTATCACCATGAAATAGAGCGGAGGTTTAAAACCGGTCCTCTAAGATCACTGTGGCTGCAGGTTTTCAATCCAACCAAGCAGACTCCACCCCCTCAAATGAGTCCTGTCTTAAGTACTTGAGTAAAAGGGTGAAGTCTGGTGTGCTCCTACGTGGTTGGAATGAAATCCTGCAGCCACACCGGCCCTTTCTGAAAGCAGTTTTATCTGAAATAGTGAGACAGAGAGAAGTTTCTAGGTTTCGTGAATAGCACAGACAGCTGAGTTTTTATGACTTTTCCTAACTTTACTTGGTTAAATAACTTTTAAATTCAGTTTCAGTTTACATTTTGCTGTAGTTATTTGAAACGGTACCACAGTGAATGCATGCAAAGCTCTAACCAAATAGATGAGCGTGTGGTGACTTTCACTCGGGTTGCAAAATGAATATGATCTCCTGCCGTACATGCCCGACTCGCTCCACAAAGCCACGTCCTGCCCGGGCCCAGAACAGTGCGTGTGTGTTTATCGGCTTATGTAACGGCCGTTCAGGTTAATGAGTTGTCGTCTTTGGGCTGTTGATGAGAGAATGCTGGTTATCCATGGACTCTGGGACATAAACCATCATTGAGGCTCACAACACATGACTGTACTCTGCTGAATGGAGTATAAAAAGGCATTGATGGAAAATAAAATGGAACAAATTATGGTCTGAATGTTCCCTAATAGTTGATCTCATACACATAATCAATCCATTTTGAAAAGCCCCGTTCTCTTCCCAGACCAGCTGAGATCTCTGTTTCCACCAGCCCTACAAGCCGCTTCTCTAAAATGGCTGCCTTTACAATTACGTTTTAGAATCAGGTACCTTATTCCGGCAATCTCCCCACAAAAGAGAGCGGTAACCAGTTAAACAAGGCCAGTGGAAATGCATCCAGACAAAGAGTAGAGGACAGCAAAAAATCACACAGGTACGTCGCTCTGTTGTAGTTCAACCACACGCACAGAAGATGTCAAAAATGAATAATGATCACACAATCCTGTACCTGTCACCATGTTTTCACTTCAACTCTGACACACTACTTGTTATTTCTCTGTCAATCTGTGCACGTCAGGCCCGCTCCCTTAAAATCAGTTCAGTTCAGTTTATTTATTTGCCATTTGCAGTAAAAAACCACATTGGAATACATTTGCAAAAAGTCTCCAGTGTGCACAGACAAATACAGACATAAAACAACATTAAAAGACAGAAATAAAACAGTAAACAAATTTCACTGTGAAATCGATCGACTAAAACAGTTTCAAAACAAGTGCAAATCATTAAAGTGCTCTGAAATGCCCCCCATATGTATCCCCCAAAACTATTGAGAACTTTTTGATGCATGGTCGACTTTAATAGAAGCCCTTGAGTATGTTGTCCAAAATTATCTATACAACTGTATAATAATAATTGCTATGGTATAACATTGGTATTCAAAATTAAGTTTGAAATGTAGTATTGTGACAACATTGGCCCATTCTAATTCCTCTGTCAATAATAGACATTTTTCTGACAGTTTTCAAACTGAAAGTTTTCTGACAGGCCAGCCATGTTGACTAATTTCTCATCCTTCTGGTCATTATATAGCCAAAGCTCATGGCCGTATGAGAGGGGGTGTGAGCCTGGAGAAGATTGCTTAAAAATCAGAGAAGCGAATCTTTGTATTTTTGTAATCAGTATATTTAAACATTTGTGAATAATGATAAAAGAATCCAATATTTTTTCATCTGTTTTTCAATAATTTATTAGATTTGAAATTCCCCCACACATTTTCAGAGTCTTCCCACTCAAGAGACTGCCTCACATTGTGAATTTGCTTACACCTTCTTTGTTCAGTGGCAGACGTGTTTTCAGCTTTTGTGCTTCCCATTCGATGGACTTCTGCTTTTGTAAATCCCTTGTTGTCTAGAAACATTGAACTTTAGCTTTGGTCCCTCTTCTTTCTACATGCGCTGCCTCTCATCTCAACTCTGTCTTTTCATTTCAGAATTTGTGATTGCTTGGTGAATTATTATGACTCTCCAGATTCCCGTAATGTTTCCCTGTTTGCAGACTGCATTTTGGTTGACTTGTTTCATGTTACAGCCGGAGGGGCACATTTACTAAGAACACACCGTTCTCATTGATACAAGGCGGTTGACTTGTCATGAGAAGAAGTCTCAAAATCAACAGAGCTGGGAAAATAAGGCTGCTCTATTGAAACTCTAAGCCGATTAGTCAACCGTCATGTAAATAATTGCCTTTTCTGTGTGCCTTTTTATATTTTTGGGTGATGCCGCAATACCAGCGTCATTGAAAAATGATTCATTTATTGCATGAAAGTTTATTTACTCCCTAAAATGTTTGCAAAAGAATGTTCACTGCATTTTCACGGACTCACCCTTTTACTTTACTAATCTTTTCACAATCGTTGACTGTAGAAAGAAATAGACATGACTTCTTCTTTTTTCTAACCCACTTCTCACAAGTCTCGTTTAGCATATACCGAAATAATTAGTTCTAACCTCAACACTAACCGTGATATTGAACTTGTAATTTTACAATAATATACATTTAATGATTAACAAATTGGCTAAATTTTACATGGCCTGCAAGCTAGCTCTTTTGCATTACCAAGAGCCTATGTGTTAAAATTGTGGTAAAGGTTAGCTGAAAATATCTTTCCTGGTAACTATGGTAACTGTCAAATGTCTTGTCTTAGTTTAGAGCTATTTTCCCTGGGTCCAAATGACGCAAGAGCTGTCACAAAGTTTCACATCTGCTTTGTCAGTAAATGTCAACTTCGATCTAGATATTTTCTCTTAAAGATGTCGAGAAGTTGTGACAATATTACAAAATATATGCATGACGTTGGCATGAGAATGATACGGCAGTTTTGTGAATTTAATCACAATCAAAAGACATAATTAGGACACCTTTCTCTTTTCATAAAATGCGTTTTCCCATAGAGTTGTATCGGCTCCTGCCCTCCAACTAAAATACAACTGTAGAACCTGTAGAGAGTGTGTGGTAAAAGTTTGTGTGTTTATTTTGATATTTTTTTAATAAACCAACACATGATGAATAATCATTACTATTATTGGTAGTGGTGGACAATTTCAAATACAATCATATCGGTGTGTTTCAGTATCAATTTTTAGAAGTTTAGTTTGTAGTTTTACAATTTAAATGTAAAATTAACTACAAAATGCAACTATTTTAACAGTATGGGCGTTTTAAAGCTCTAGCAAATATGGTGTTTTCTCAGTCATTTCCAATAGTTTGGACCATAAATGACACCTCTACCTCAACCTTCCCTTTTTCAGTGCAGACGCAACCAATAATTTTTCTTCTTAACGTTTTTTTGTTGATGGTTCCAATACTGTAGATATATTTGTGTAGTATTATATCGTGAGGCCTCATACTGTTTGAATGATGATGATAACTGTTCAAACTCGTCTGAGCAGAGAAGGCAGAAAGCTCGTTGACTGTGTTTGTGAATGCTGATCATGTGACATGAGCTTGTCCCACACGTTCGAACCTGTGTAATGAGATTTAGTCTCGCTGAGCACCCAAGCTGCTTCACTAAACCCCTCTGCTTTGATTTCAAATTAGCTGCTATATTTTTTATATTTTGTCGAGTATATTTTGAGATTGCACTTTGCATCTTGAGATGTTAAAAAAGGTCTGTATATTGTGTGTATTTATACAAGGGCTGAGAATCTCTGGTAGTTTTTGTCCTATCCAAAGAAACGTGTTCAATGCATTTTTTAAAATCAATTTAGTATAAAATATTGTCTCTGAATTAGATTCCTTCACATTTTCTCTCTTCACTTCAAATAGGTCGCACCTTTTTAGATCATGACAGCTGTGACCATCTGTCTAATCAATCATCTCTCACCCAGTTTTTCATGAAAATTGCAAATCTGTGTATTTTAACCCTTATTTACCTCAGTAACTATACAATAGTGAAGGCTTTTAATTGTTGTAAAAATTGTTGGCCTAAATGTTGTTGCGTTTCCTTCTCAGAGAAATACTCAATAAAAAATGCATAAAATGACTAGTTGTGACTAGTCAGTTTAATTAAAATCAATTATCCATTTGTGTTTACCTTGCACACAGGTGAAACTAGAAAAATTAAAATATCGTACAGAAGTGAATTTATTTCTGTAATTCAACTTAAGGCCAACCTTTCAGTGATCAAAATATTCGGTGCAACTCTGCCATAATGTATATAAATAATGCTAACCATTTGTTCATTAAACCAAAGTAGATTCTCAGCCCCTTATTGAATACGTTTGGAATCTGACCTGCTTGTTTTCTCGTCTTGGCATGTCTTGCAGAGTTGGCGAAGACCAACTAGAGCAACCAGACATCTTTCAGGTGGAGGCGCAGCACTCTTTTGGGGAGGTGATCACGGAGGAGACCATGAAGAGCTCCAGCTGCTCCTGCTACTCCATCCCCTGCTCCTCCAGGAACCTGTGCCCCAGCTCCAAGGTTCGAGCCGGGAGCGCTGAGTCCGACTCCGGCCTCAGCTCCTCCTGAATGCAAAAGCACAAGCCCTACCCTTAGAATCAAAGGGTTCCATCCATGTTCTGGGTTAGTCCGAGATAATGAGGTTCAGAGGAAAAGCAAAATCCTCTTTTAAAGTTCTAACTGATCAGAAGGCATAGGGCTGTAAAAAGTATTAAAGAGATACAGGATTAACAAACATATACATACCTCAATTTCCACACAAACGCCAGATGAACCTTTTTCGGACCGAACCAGGACTAAAATAAGTATAAATGAAACGAGAAAAACAAAAATTATATCCAAACTATAACTAAAGCCTGGTGTATTATAGGATTATACAACATTTTATAGACCTGGGTCTCAACCAGGTCAAATATTGGACATGCATTATTTTAAGGACTTCAAAGGGTCTAAAGAATTAGACCAACAGTGACAAACCATAAAACACAACCAGCTTCTTCTACCATTCTCCTACCATACTCCAAAGTTTGGAGTCCAAACTATCCCATAGAATCACGCATACCACAGTTTGAGACGCGCCACTCTCGTCTCTCTTGCGTACTGTATGAGCCAACTATCGCACAATGTCTTCTTTCTTTTTCTTAAACACTGTTTTTCTACTCAGTCCTGGGAATCTTGTCAATGATAGTGGTACACCGAGAGACTCCTGTTTCTCAGTTAATCCTTAGCCATGTTTCATTTTTATTTTGCATTTGGAGCTACTAGTTAAAAGTCCAAACGGCTTTCTTTTCTAGATTGTAACCAGATAGTATTTTGTGCAGGATATCAAAATTGTTGATGCCGCTGACGAGTGGATTAATGCCATGGGATTTCTTCTTCCAATTGGAGGAAAATTGACTTGGCGTGCTCTTTTTAATATGCATTGAGGAAAGGTTTAAGATGGTTTTAGTTCATATTTCATTTGCTTTCTATGTGTTGCATTTGCTTCACTTCAACTACCTGATTGACATGAATGCTCAATATGTACTTATATATTGTTTTTTTTTCAATGAGCCACAGCCTTAAACTGGGGAATGTCTGGGGATATTCTGTGATGAAATGACAAACTATGACTTGACATGTTTAAAAAGGGTGTGGGTAGAGGTTATATTAGGAAATCTATGTTGTTTTCAGCATTTGTTTACTTCCGTCTAATGTATAACTCTGACATAATGAACTGCTTTTATCTTAAGACACGACATGAACCTCCTCGAGAATTCAGCATCTGGTTTGTTGTTATCCCTTCACTTTGCAGTTATTTTTATTGCATGTGTCGGGCACTATGTCAGGGGAATCACACTTGAATAATGCATCTTTTTGTATGGAATAAATGTATAGCAATGTAAACCAGTGTACAAACGGTCTGCAGCTGCCACATGGGATAAATGACTTGCATGCAATGTATAGTTGTAAATAATAATAAAAAGAGAGGAGAAAGTGACGTATGTACTGCCATTAAAGTTGAGAATGTACATTAAGAAGTTTGCGTGTTGAATTTTTTTATTAATTATTTATTTGTGATGTGTCAAATGTTGGGTGTAGTTTGATCATGGGTTTATAGAAGGGGGCAAGTGACTGAACAAATCAGAAAAAAGCCCAAAAATAATGAAAAATAATTTCACCATAATGCTTTTTAAGTTTAACAAGACCGCATACAGAAAGTGGTGCATTTAAATCTATATCAATTATAAGTTACAGCCGATTTAAATGGTTTGGACATTAAACCTGTGCTTAAATGAATGACCTATTTAGATTTGCATGAGTCCATGATACTGTATGCTAGTTACAAAATGTAGCTCAAAAGTTTTGAAAACTAACTGGTTGTTCAAGTTTCTTTTGATACTTTTTATTATAGACACGCATCTTCCTCCCACTGCACCTTAATGGATCCATGCCATGAAAATAACACACGCACTGAAAAGTACAGGAACCTTCTATTTGAAGTGTTTCGCGGTGACTGCGCCCCCTGCCGAAAATATAAAGTAGAACCTGTTATATTATCGTATACCCGGATTTGAAATCAATGTAGCAACAGTGCAATAAATGCATTTATGATTTCAATGTATTACTAGAAATGTAAGTTTTAATTTATCACATGAGTCAATAAAATTAACATAGTTGATCATGCCTTAATCATTTTTTAAATTAAATATATTAACAAATAAATTACAAATAGCTTTATATGAGACCCACTAACAAAACAAAGTCAAAAGCATAAATAAACTTTGTGAAATCCCATCTCTCCTCCTCCTCCTGCTCTTCTTCCTCCAGCTACAACAGGAGGCACTGATAATGTACAGTATACGGTGTATGTTAATAAATAGTTCTAAAAATCATGTGTGTTTTAGTTTAAGTTTACATTAAAAGTGCCACGTTTTGTACTTTTTGAAGATTTTTTTAAAGAAAATTTTTAGGTAAAATGCTTAATTCCATGCTCAAAAAGGTCGCAGTGGAGCTCAGCAGAACTGATCAATGTTGGTCAGATGAAGCAGTGTCATGGCAGTTTGACCAATCAGTGATAAGACAAAAGAATGGCCTTGACACCACAGCTACTGCCCAGAAGAGCCAGGATACAGTCATGAGCCAGGCATAAATCAGGAGACAGCACTGCAGAGAGCTCCAATCACAGGCACTGCGGAGCCATAACAGATCCATGCTGCGGAGCTGTTTGAGCCGGCAGACCGAGCCACTTTTGGGATACTGTGGTTCTTGTGTCTAGTGTTAAAGCAGACCATTAACAATGAAGGCATCCCTAATTTGCATTTATATGTATTTATTGTTTTTGTTCTGCGCTCTTTTTGTTGTCTCTGTTTTATAAATATTGGCCTAATTATAGTTATATTTTTTATTTATTTTATTTTTTTAAGAAACGGGACAATTTTGTCTCTTGAATTCAGATGTCGAGGACCTTTTCAACGTGAGTCCTTGAAAAAATACATTTCCCAGTGTGCACCGCGGCACTTCTTTAAACCTCTGAGAACACGCCCTCGCTCATTAAACCCATCTACTGTAATCCCCACTGTACACAACATCTCGGTTTGTGTTTTTAAAGACAATCAAAAACAACAATAATGGACAACTCCGGGAAAGAGAAGGAGGCCATCCAGCTCATGGCCGACGCGGAAAAGAAAGTCAAATCTTCGGGCTCTTTCATGACAGGAGTGTTTGGAGGGTGAGTGGTGGACCAGGCACTGCAGCAAAGATAAACAGCCGTAATGTCAGCTGCAAAGTTGGCTCGTTTCCACAAGGCAATGAAATGGAGATTATTTTAATTTACGAGCATCTTGTGTTTATCTGCAGCTCGGGTTTGTTAGCTTTTAGCATCTTTGTAAACAACTAGCTAGGCATATCACTGCATCATGGAAAGAGCTAGTTGCTAATGCTAAAGCTAACCCACGTTTTAACATTTTCCCATTGACAGGTACAAAATGTGTCTGATAAATGATATTGCATGGATTAATATTAATGAATGTATGGCAAATCAGTTATTATTCTGTAGTATAATTATGTTTGGTAGCAGTAGTAGGAAAGCTGTATTCAAATCAAAGGTGTCAACAACAGATCTATGGACAAATTAACACTTCTATATGTGTTTAAGAGAATTCATAAGTTTTTCCTATGTTCCAAAGTTATGAAACAGGCAGTAAATGTCACAATTACACTACTTTTCTGCTGGAGGGTGTGGTTTTTAATTTGCTCTATCTATCTGGTTGTTGTTTTGTTGAACTATGTTTTGCCTAAATAGTTCAACATGGCATTAAACTATTGATTTCAAGTTTTTTAGCATTGAAACCATCCGTAAATAAAGAATTGCTTAACTGTATTTTTATGAAATAAAAAGGAACTGTCAAAGCAACATCTCCATGGCAACAAGTGAAAAGCTGACCCAGACCAAAAAGTTGCACAATGGATAAATTGTACATAAATAAAGATTAATTCTACCTCAAGTTGTGTTTGGTCTCACGGAAGTCATGTTATAATGTTTGCCTTTAGAATTAGATTACTGAATTAAACATGATGAAGCTGCTATTTTTGTTTGCAGGGGTCATCACAAAGTAGAGGAGGCGTGTGAGATGTACTGCAGAGCGGCTAACATGTTCAAGATGGCCAAGAACTGGAACGGTGTGACTAAAGACATTTTAATTTCTTGCAAATTCTTTGATGGCGTTACAATATAATACGTTGTTGTGTTTAGTTAAAAGATGGTGACTGCAGATTATTTACATGCAAATATTATTGGGTCGGATAAAAATGGCTCTTGCCTTTCATGTTTAGCTTTGTCTTCTTTTTTTTCTATTTCTTGTTACAGCTAGACAGGTTTGGTAAGTCTGAATTATTTTTTTTATTGCCCTTGAAAGTCACTGGAAGTCAAGATTTTGCTTTGGAATATGGTGCAAAGACATTATAAAAAGCAAAAATATTCATATTCAGATTCATTTTAATCTGAAATTGATATACAGGCATGCGTAAATGCAATTATATGTGAATAATATGTTTGATTCCATAATTAGGTACATTGATTGAACTTTTAAAGGGCACATATATGATATTTTTGAGTTTCAAGACTTTTTTTCATCAAACATAGACCTTGAGCTGTTTTTATCTCCATTCAGGCCTCCATCATGAGGCCTGGCCCTTCTGTCTCAATGCTCTTATCTCAAACTTGTTACGATAAGAAAAATCATTAGGACAGAGTCAGGGACAGAGCTGTTTTTTCATATTTAAAACAAAAGTATTGCCTCCCAGTTGGTTAATGTTAGTTCTTTAATTCTAACTATTTCTAAAATGTCTTCAGGGGCTGGAGCTGCGTTTTGCAAAGCCGCTCGTCTTCACATGCAGCTGCAGAACAAACACGACTGTGCTGTGAGCTTCATCGACGCAGGAAACGCTTACAAGAAATCTGATCCCAACGGTAACTTTTAACAGTCGCAAACACATGTCCGATCAATCCGTATTCACTACTTGTGAAACTCCCATAATGCTTTTCATCTTGGGGTGGGGGGGTCTCACCCCTAGAAGTTGTTTGTCGTTTAAAGTTGACAAAAAATGGTAGATCTGCAGTAGGAGTTGTAGAAGAGTGTTAGTCCTGATGTAAAGTCTTTTGGAGGGTTGCACCGATACAACAAACTATACATGTCAATTAGAATCACACACAACGGTTAGTGCTCGAGTTTCACAGCAAGAAGGTCCCGGGTTTGACTCCACCTCTAGAAGTGGCCTTTCTGTGTGGAGTTTGCTGAATTAAAGGTTTATAGAAGGCAACATTAGCTTGTTTGCACTAGATCGATAGCATAGAACCCCCACTACCTGCTAAGCATTATGGTATTGCAAATTAACCAACAAAAACATGCTACTTCTAACCCTTTTTGTATATTGAACTGCTGTGGTGTCTTCTCCTTCTTTCTTACGCTGCTCAGAGGCAATCAAGTGTTTAAACGCTGCCATCGATATTTACACAGACATGGTAAGATTTATTTAGGCAAGGTATTTGACGTTGAACATTTTTCGTTTCCATTTTATCAAAACAAGGGATTAGAAAAGGGCCATCTGAGCAAACACTATATAACTGCAGGTAAACTTAATTCTTAGCCTTTACAGTGAATATGTTATATACAACTTACTATTCGGAGGTAGAAGAAAGACAGTGTTTTATATTAACGTCTTATACAGTGATTTATCCATAGATCCTCCAGAGCAGTCCCCTAACGAAGCCAATATATCAGCATTAATTATTTCAAGATATTTAGTTGGGCAGCAATTTCATTTTTCTTCCATCTCTCACTACTCACCAAACACATCCCCCAATTTCTTGCTTCTCCGCAGGGAAGATTCACCATCGCAGCCAAACACCACATAAATATTGCAGAGATCTACGAGTCTGAAATGGTCGACATTGAAAAGGTAATGAAACAAAGGATGCAGGGAAAAAAATAATTTATGTAATAGTGGGTTTTATTGTTTGTGTTGTGTAGGGAAACCTGTATTCACTGTGCGCATAATACAACAAAAGCTTTTGAAATGATTTCTAAAGTCCTTTTGTGTTAAATGGTTCACAGGCCATTGCACACTATGAGCAGGCAGCTGATTACTACAAAGGAGAAGAATCAAACAGGTAATATTTCTACTCTCATAACATTTAAAGCAGAGGTACCAGACTTTTTGCTTTTGTGATTGCATTTCTGCTCACATCATATAACATTATTTTATACCATTGTTTTACCAAATATAAAATCTGGGGTAGCCAACCTTATAAAATGCGGTCTTGTTATCTTTTGTATACTTGTAAGAAAGAGCCCAGTGAGTCACTGTTTGATGTTTTGGGCTGAAAACTGATTAGAAACAAACTGTTTTTCTGCATAGTTTTTATTTTATTTTATTTTATTTACATACATTTTTTGAGATTTGAAAGTTAGGTACTCCGGCTTTAATAATGAGCCACAGGTGTCGTATGTCGTCACTATAATAGAAGCATGTTAAGCCTTCGTTAAAACAACTGGAACAACCCTCATTTAATGGATTACAGTATTATTGGTGTTTTAAAATATGAGTTTGTTGGGTACATTTCAGCTCTATTTCAGGATTCTTTTGCTCTACTTTTCTTAGCTCTGCCAACAAATGTCTTCTGAAAGTGGGGGCTTACTGCGCTCAGTTGGAGCAGTACCAGAAATCCATTGAAATCTATGAACAGGTGCGACATGTTTATTCCCTTTGATCGTATTCTGCTTTGTTGTAAACTGCATTAGTAACTGCATGTGTCCCTCAACAGGTCGGGGCCAATGTGATGGATAATCCACTTCTGAAATACAGCGCTAAAGAGTACTTCTTTAAAGCTTCTCTCTGCCATTTTATTGTGGACGAGCTCAATGCTAAGGCAAGTTGCCATAGCAACTAATCGAATTTGTTAGCATATCGACATTAGTGTGAATTCAAACGTTTTATGTTAAGTCATTGTTAAAGGTCCTTTTTAAAGACCCTTAATAGAATCGTAAATACAATGGTTTAGTCTAGATGTATCTGCATTTGGCATCTACTGAAATAAGATCAAAGATTATCCATGTTCTAGTATTAAGTGTAAATAGTGTCTGCCGTAATTCATAGGTTTTAAATATATAATACATTTTGAACATTTGAAAATCAACATTGATCTAAAACAGACTTTTGCTTTGATTACTTTTGTAACATTTGCATGATAAAGATGTCTTTATTGTGTTTCCAGATCGCCATTGAGAAGTACGAGGAGATGTTCCCGGCCTTCTCCGACTCCAGAGAGTGCAAGCTGTTGAAGGCATGTGAACGTTTGCGCCCCTCAGAGGGTCTTTGTGTCTCCCACCTGCTTTTATTGAGTAACACTTACACTTTGTGATCAAACAGAAACTCCTGGAGGCACACGAGGAGCAGAACAGCGAGGCCTTTACAGAGGCTGTAAGTCCCACTCTCTACTCTTTAGCAACCAGCTTTCTGCATCAGTGACAAGCCCCTGGTCTCCAAGATGTCTGCCCATTCAAATGAATGATCTGCAGTGGTGCGGGTGGCCCCCTGTCCTTGCTGGAGACTGGTTTAAGCTAACAATAGCCTATCCAGATCAAGCCCCGGCTATCCAAGATGGCACCCTATTCAAATGAATGGCTGGTGCTCAGTAGCATGTCATGGGACATACAGGAGGACCGAAAGATTAGCGGAACTCGTCCATATTTGGGAATCGTCTGGTTCTTCCCAGGTCTACGCAGTGGACGAGCTCCTATGATGGCAGCAGTAGCTGTTGGTAGAGCGTTGGCCTTTGAGCCAGAAGGTCGTGGGTTCAAGCCCCGCTCAAGACTTTCACCATCGACTCCCACTGACTACTGGCGTTGTGTCCTTGGCAAGACACTTAACCTCTGGGAACACCAGCCACAGTGGGGCGGCTGCAGCTGTAAAGTGCCAAACTGCCGTTGTGCCCTTAGGCAAGACACTTCACCCCCATTGCCTAGAATGAGTCTGGTGTGTGTGTGAATGGTTGGTGGTGGTCGGAGGGGCCGATGGCGCATACTGGTTGCCTCGCTTCTGTCAGTGTGCCCCAGGGCACTAGTTTATCACCACCGTGTATGGAGTGAATGAATAATGACATGTGAATTGTGAAGCATCTTTGAGTGTCCAAAAAAGCGCTATATAAAATCGATGCATTATTATTATTATTATTATTATTATGCGTTGCACCAAATACGCGTGTGTGTGACTCATGCACGTGCACAGAGGGGTTCGACCGCGCTTTGACCAATCAGAGCCAATCAGTAAAGTGTGGATTTAAAGAAAATCGAAGGATTTTAGAAGGAAAAAGGTTCAGGATGACAAGGGACACTAAAATCCCCAAAAATTTGAACTTTTTGAAAGCTGTAGGTTCTCTGTCAGCTGATGTCGAGCTGTTTTAGTTTACATTGAGTTCTATGGGACTTTTTTCTGAGTACCCCTCGTGAATTTATTCTGCTGTACCACAGGCGCCCCCTGTGCACGTGGGTGGGACAGCTCTAAGATAGTAATACTCTATCCAGTTATTATTATAGATCCATGATCCAGATAATACATCCATGAGTCCACTGTGCTGACGCTGACTCTGCATGTTTGTTTTCAGGTGAAGGAGTTTGACTCCATCTCTCGTTTGGACCAGTGGCACACAACTCTCCTGCTGCGTATCAAGAAGACCATCCAGGGAGATGAGGGCGACCTTAAATGAGCTCGAATCTTTCAACTCTGCATGTTCCACACAGTTACACAACCATAAAAACACATATCCTTATTGGTACTTCAAATGCTGTCTGGTGAGTGCTGCTTTCGAGTGATCTAAACAGGGTTCAATAAGAATGATAATTAATAAAAATAACTATGATAGCTAAAACTAAATGTATAAACTAAATAAATATGATGGCTAAAATCGAAAGTGTTAGTAAACAGATTATCCCTCAAGCACTTGAAAGCAGCACCGCTCCCACTGCTATTTTTTTTTTTGCTGTTGTCCAATTTTAATTGTTTGAACTATCTTTTATTTTGATCCATTTAAATCTTGTGAATCCACTCGCCCTCACCGCTGCTGCAAAGCCTTTGATGCTGAACAAGCATGGATTCCACATTAGTCTGCCCCTTGAGTCGCTAACACGTACTGCACATTTTTACTACAGCTCTACAATATATGTTGTTAAAAAAATATATATATTTACATTTCTTATATTTATTGTTTGAACTTTACAGTTCATTTGACTTGAGAGGGAGATATTATGCACCAAGTGAAGACTGTTAACACATGTACCTTATTCCATAATCACATGTCATTTTTGAGTATTTTTCTAGTTCATAGTGTCACTTTAATGTTTTTATGTGTGTTTGTTTTATTATGCAAAAATCTAATCCAGGATGTCACTGCAAACAAGCTAAAAACTTGATAGAGCTTGATTTAAGATTAGACGACTGAAGTCTTTTTTTATTTTGGGTGTACAATTGTTGCTTAAAGAGGAAAAACATTCAATACTAAAAGATAATGCAGAAAAGATTAAATATCTATACGCATGTTTATATACATGTTATACCAACAGGATAAAGAAATTCAAAAGTCAATAATGAGCATGGTTGTTTGGGAGACAGTGGAGTTTGCATGTTCTCTGTGTGTCAGTCTGCGTAGGTTTCCCTATATGGATAGACTGAAAATGGATTCTGAGAAATCTTCGCAGGACTGAGATGAATTAAGATTTTCCAGTAGACTTGGCCAAAAATGTTTCAAGTGAGGAAACAAAAGCTGCTGTTAGAGAAATACTGTTATTTGAATTTCTCATTACAGCTTGACCCTCGTGCTATCCTCAAGTCAAATTGACCCGCCACAGAGATTAAAAATACCCCACATTTAATTGTACTTTTTGGGCTGAACCACCATAGTTAGTTAGCCTCTGCCATGCTTTCTCTTCAAAACGTCAATGAGAATTTTGTGTATACATTTTACTTCCAGAACCAGGGTGGACTAATTTCACTTTTGTCTTTTATTGCAGTGAAATATTGAATATATGAAACAATTGATCAGATTACTTTTTTCCTGAGTTTCTTAAAGCCCCCATTAAGCAGGTAATAAAACGCCTCCAATCAAACCCAACTAAATTCAAAGATTGGTTCTAGGTCTTCTTTTATTTTGACTTGTTGCAGTGTCGTCTAATGTAGTCTTTTGTGTTGTAATTCATTCTTCTGAGGTTTACGGCCGCTGTGCACCTGCCTAATGGAAACTCTAGTGTTACTGTGGTAAGTGTGAGACATGGACCTTAGTGTACAGTCTGTGAGACCAAAGTTTTTACTAAAGGGAAAAGCCGACAGAGATGGAACCACTTATGTATTGTGTATGCTTGTACGAATGGACAATAAAGACAGTATATCCAAAACTTCAACCTGGCAACTTTGATGTGTATCTTTAGTTCTTTTGTTTAAACTAGTAAAGATACAAATAATCTTTAAAAAATAAAGAGTAAAACATGTTGAGATTTGACATTTTTTCATTTCAAAGGGTCGTCTTGTAACTTCTTGTAACTAGTAGAAAATGTCAAACCGGTGAAGTATTTTAGGTCAAATCCAATAAGAAAATGCATTACAATATATTCTGGAATGGTATGAATTTAAAAAATGTTGGCAGGACCCTGGTTTGGAAAAGCACTGATGTAACATGGAAAGTAAAGAAAAAAAAAAACAGTAAATGTGTATTTTCCAGATTAGTCTTTACTTCAAATAGAGCATCTTAAAACATAAGCACAAATATTTAGAAATCACAGCTTTGCAAAATAAGTTACAAATACCTTTTCAGACTCTGAAATATAGTACTTTGAATCGTGTTCTGTTTGAGTTGTGCTTTACATGTGGGCGGCATGATTCATCGAAATTGGAAGTTCTCATCTCGTCTTTGCAAATACAAGGGACATTTATCTTGCTTCCAGTATTTTTTGAAGAACAGTTTTTTCTTGTCCAAATTAGTCCGATTTCACAAATGAGGTGTTAGTATTAGATAGCAATATGGCCTACGTGCAGGACTGTACAAGGACTCTACAAGGACTCCATGTTATGACTATGATGTGACTGTCTCTTTGTGACACGTATGTCTTTCGATGTGTGACGTGACAATGACTATATAAACTGTGTACTGCCTTTATTCTGTCTGGGAGAAAGAAACAGAGTAAACCAGTGGAACTTGAGAGAAACTTAAATAAACTTCCAGAGTTTGGCGCACCACGATCCGTCTCTGTCTGCCTAAATCCTAACAGATTTGGTGGAGAATGCGCGGCTCAGTGTGTGCCATTCTCTGGATTGTTTTGAGGGAGTTTGCTTTGTTTCTTTTCCTCTGCGTGAGAGATCGGCATGCTGTGTCTGGGAGCGGAGATTCCAGCAGGCTGGAAGAGCTGTTCCTGGATGCCTCTTGTCGCTTCTGTCACTTTTGTTTTTTAAATTGACTATTCCGACGCGGAAAAGAGGTTGGCAGACCTCTCGGACAGTCCTTGGTACCTGTTTGACAAGAATAAGGTAAGCAGACACCTTTTTATATGTAAAGTCTGTATAATTGGATACTAGCTAAATTTTGGTCTGTTTTTGGGGTCTGTCAAACTCTCTAAATTGTATTTGAGAAGAAGTCTCAGGGTTAGAGTCCCTTTGAGAAGAAGTCTCGGGGTTAGAGTCCCTTTGAGAAGAAGTCTCGGGGTTAGAGTCCCTTTGAGAAAAAGTCTCGGGGTTAGAGTCCCTTTGAGAAGAAGCTTCAGGGTTAGAGTCCCTTTGAGAAAACGTTTTCGGGGTTAGAGTCCCTTTGAGAAAAGATAAAGTGTAGGATCCTAAGTGAAACCATGGTGTAAAATTAAAAGCAATTTATAAAAAGGGAAACGTGTTAAGGAGGCCTTTGTTACAAAAGCTTTGAAATTGACGAATTTCAGGCTGATAAATGACAAAAGTAAAGAAGCAACAATATTTCAGTGATCACGGTTTAAATTACATACAGAAAAAGGGAGTTTTTGTTTTTTGGCGTGAACAGAGTTCACCGGAGAATGCAGAGTTTTATCTAAAGTTGAGCTATGAGAGCTTTCGTGAGTTATTTACATTTTTTGCCGAGTTTTATCTACAGTTGAGCTATGAGAGGGTTGTATCCAACAGTTGTTTTTGTTTTTTAGAAAGAGATTTTGAGTTTAAATTAGTTTGCTACCTCGATAAAATAGAAGCGTAAACGTTAAAGACAAGAGTGCCTTTTGTTACTAGTGTGGAAAGTGATCACTTCTAGACTTGGATGACAAAAGTTTAAAGAACAACATCAGTTATATTTGCTTAACAAAGTAATCTTGAAAGTTATTCTTCTTTCTGTTTTAGTATTTTTGCTGAAACACTACTTTCTGCCTGTGTGTGTGCTCTATCTTGCTGCCGTTGTCAGGGAAACGGCCCCCTCCTTCGCTGCTCTGGCTCTGAATCAGAGCTACTGCTTTAGGATTTCTGGCTTTTCATAGTTGTTATTTCGTTAAATTTGCGAAATTTGCAATTGAATATTGTGTTAGACACAGTTAAACGTTTTTAAACACCATTAGGGAATAGAAGTTTTGAATTAGTATGTTTTTTGAAACCCAAATATTAGTGCTAAAGTTTTGCTTTTCTTTTTAAATCTGCTGCTTATTTTGTGAGTCCATTATTGTATCTGATATTTCATAGCTGTTTGTGAGAATTTTTTCATGTATTTTTTATTTTAGTTACAAAAGCCGTTTTTCAAACATTTAAATTAGAATCTGTGTTAAAAGTGATTATTGATTATAGACTTCGTCTAAAAAGAAAGAGGGAATTAGGAATTAGCTGTAAAAGTATTATATTATTAAGTTAAACTACCCAATTCACATGCAAGTGGCGACTTTTTGTTTTTGTTTTGACTACACGCCTGACCTTACTGCTGCTGATGCCACAGCAGAGGAGACTGGCTCTAAAATGTGCAAGATAATTAAACACAGTACAAAAGTACACATATTTTAAAGTTTAAAGGTTTTTTGAGATTTGAGTCTTGTTTTTTTTATATTAAGAGTTTCTGGTCTTAAAAATGTCATCATTAGTAAGATAATAAGTAATCTTTATTTACATAGCGCATGTGGGAAAACCCAGAGCGCTCCAAAATTGTTTTGACTTTAGGGAGAAAAACAATCTCATTCACAATCTCTGTTGTTTTTAATTTGACTATAAGGTTGTTTTCCAGAACCAAGGGCACACACTGTACAGGGTCACTGGACTGCTGGAGTGGACACAGAGGGATCAGAACAGTGGCCCAGAGTAGACACCATCCAACCAGCCGCAGATCGTAAAGGCGACTTAGCTACCTCCGTGTGCCCCTCCCCCACTACAGACCGATGGTCGTAGGTGGCAGTGAGACCGGGGCCACAAAGTGAGGTTTTCTGTAGGCAGTGGTGGGTGAGTTGTTTTGCAATCTGGAAGTGTGCCCAACTTTGCTTGTTTACATCACCACAGTGTGACCTTTGACACCTACAGGTGGTTCGAGGAGTCTGGAGACACAACCCCAAAATTCACATACACACACACACACACACACACACATACACACACATACACTCACACATTCACATTTACATATAGATACATGAAAAAGCAGAACATGAGAAAAAAGCATTTTAAAAGTTTACTCCAATGTAAACAAATATTTTTAATTGTCTATCACTTGAATCAGTATTTTTTGAGACCAGAAATGTTCCTTTGAATTCCATATTGTCATGGACTTAATTGACCTCTGTCCTGACACTTTTGATTTGTTGATTTTGTACTGTGTGAAGTAATTACATTGATAAGGATTAGATCTGATAAAAACACAAATTAGAGAAGAAAATTGCGCTTGCTTTTGTCTAAGGGACATTAGCAACAGCATGAATAGAAATTGTGTTAAAGTAGAATCAAAGTGACTTAACCATAGAGAGTAACTACTGCATAAAAAGCTGTGTACAGGAACTGTGACACTGCACCATTGACCAGAAGTGCATCGCAAATGACCTGATGTGCTTCGAGTGAAAAGACTGTATCTGGAGATCCTGATGTGCATCTGGAGAGACCAAAACCATGGCTTGGACCCTACTGATGTCCAAGATGACATCTCTCGAAATATGACCTGACATGATGGACCAGACTGAGACTCACCCTCAGAGGACCTGAGGACCTGAGAGAGAAAACCTGGGGAGTGATGTTTATATTATTGAAATCATACATTGATGAGTGCTAAATGAGAGATATACTCATGATTCTTTCTTTTGTTTTTGTTTGTCCCTAGCTTCTGGACATCTGATGATCTATTGGACACAGCCATTTGCAGAACAAGAACCAGCCAATGAAAAACGTCTATTGCCGATGCTATTGCTACAACCAGAACCTGTGACCAAATGCAATATACATGTTAAGTATTCAGACATCTGACAGACAAAAACTTCTGGGAGACTGAGCAACTGTTAAAATGTTTTAAAATGATAAAGTATGAGTATTGTAGCGTTTTATTAGATGTTAAATAGTAGTAAAAAAGAATAGAATTGTCCTTCCTTTGTTTTTCATAAACATATTTCCACGTAAGAGTTAAAATAGTACCCTACAATGTTATCCTTTTGATAGATCAGCTAAAATATTAGAATCAGAGTATTTTAGAGATATTAAAAGTGACAGAAGTCACAAACTAGAAATATGCCTTTGCTCAAGCTGCAACCGAGCTTTAGAGTTAAAAAATAGAGTAAAAATAGAGAAATAGATAAAAGCATCAACCATAGATGCTTTCAAAAATAGAGATTATTTGTAGCCAGTGCTAATATCAAATGGTAAAGGGACCATTTCACAAACATTTACTTAAAAAATAGATAAAGTTAATTACAGTTTTATGTACAGTTTTATTAGATACTGCCAAATTCACTTGTGTTGAAACATGAGTGAATGTTGACAATGCAAAAAGTCCATATGAGTGTAGTCTAGATTAATGCCTAGATCAATGAGATAGATTAGAACCAAGAGAGATTCAAAAGCATTTAAAAGCATTTTGATGTATTTGTGTATAGCACAAAAACAGTATAGTAGATATTTTGATCTTTGAGAAGTTTCCATTACAGATTAGAGAATCAAACACCATTGTAGAATTACTGACCCCAACCCCAAACCTGCTCAAATAGATTAGCTCTTGTAAGGATTATACTAATTTGATTAATGATGTACATTCATCCCAAACTGCCTGATAGGAGGAAGTGACAGCACTTCCTGGTTCAACAAATGTATTTGGAAAACTGACCGCCATAATAATGTTCATATGAACCATTTGTCTTTCTGTGTTCACAGTTTTATTCCTGAGAATGAGAATAGATAGAGCAAAATCCCACTGATAATAAGCCACTAATAATGAGAGTATAATACCACAGAGAGATTTATTAGATTAAAATGTATGTTTAAGAATATGGCTCAAAGCAAATATGCAAACATATTTGTGAATAGATTAGAATAGTTTTAAACTATAGTGAATAGTAAAAGTAAAGTACACAGTCTAAGATTGAAAAGTGAAAATAATAAAGTGAAATAAGTGTAGTGTAAACAATTAGCATTAGAATAAAAGTATAGAGTAATAAAAGTGAAATTAGCTTCTAAATTGAGACTCAGCTCGTTTTTGTCTGTGTTTTGACTGAATCTGCTGAGTTCTTGTGTGTCCAATAGTTTTTGTTTGTTTTTATTTTTGATTTGTTTTTGTTGTTTTTTGTTTATTTATTAACTTTATTTTTGATTTGTTTGTTTATTTGTTTTGTTTTTTCCCAGGATAGAGGATAAAATCCACTGATATTGATTTGATGATTATGAGTTTAATGCATACATTTTCTTTGTTTTTAATAATTTTTTAAAGTTTTTTTTTAATTTTTTTTTTTAATTTTTTTTCTTTTTCCACTTTATTGATTGATCAAATTGAATGATCACATGTGATTATGTGATCAAAGGGGAGGGTATTAGTATTAGATAGCAATATGGCCTACGTGCAGGACTGTACAAGGACTCTAAAAGGACTCCATGTTATGACTATGATTTGACTGTCTCTTTGTGACACGTATGTCTTTCGATGTGTGACGTGACAATGACTATATAAACTGTGTACTGCCTTTATTCTGTCTGGGAGAAAGAAACAGAGTAAACCAGTGGAACTTGAGAGAAACTTAAATAAACTTCCAGAGTTTGGCGCACCACGATCCGTCTCTGTCTGATTCATCCCTGACAGAGGCTTGACTATGAATTTTGTGAGAAAAGTTATAAAATGACTTATTTCAAGTCTCCAGTGAATCATTTATTTCTACAAGAAATTTATTTATTTATTTTTATTCTATTAGTTTATCTGACAGGGACATTGTGCATAAACAAACATTTCTGTAAATGCACCAGAATTAGCCAAGTAGGCTATTCTTCCTCTGCAGTCCATGTACTATACATGGGTTTCACGTCACTCAATGGCACCAAGCGAGGCCCGGGGCCACACTTGTGTTTGGAGCTGTAAAAACAGTGTTGAGTCTGATTTAAAAGGACCAGAGACTGATAGACTTATGGCTGGTGAGAATACTCTTAAAAACTCTTGTACGTTATGATGATATAGTAATAGAAATGTCATAATAATCTAATAATGTAGTGTGTTTAACATGACAACCGTCCACGCAAGATCCAAAAGATTGGAATGGAAATGGAAGCCAATACATTTATAGTTTAGAACTCATAGCATTTTCTGAAATGTATGGGCATTTTTTGTGAGGTAATGCCACCTAAACAAGGTAATGAAGTATTATTGGAAGTTATTACTGTAAACAACTTAAACAACAGGGATTTTTTTAAAAAATCATCGCAATTTTGGTCAGAAATATTGCAATTATATTTGCCAAAATGGTGCAGCCTTACAATACAAATAACGTGATATATTTGTTTTTAGACATGATAGAATTTGATTATACAAATCTCCAAACACCCTCATGGCTTCTTTCCTTCTTCATCTTCATCGTCCTCTTTAACTGCCTCCATCTCAACACTGGCCTCTGTTTCCACCACCGTTTCAATCTCTGCATTCGGCACCAAGATGTCCTCGTCGTTCGCTTTGCCGTCCGTGTCTGAGGCCAAAATAGTCTGTGAAGCCGCCACTTCCAGCACAGATGGAGTACAGACCGACTGGCTCTCCGACACGATCGTGAGCGCACCGTTCGCAATGCTAACGGTGGGGATATCCGTAGCCGAAATGGACTGACCCATGGTGGAGGCTAAGGAGAACGGCGCGGTCACGGCTGAATCGGCCAAGGTCAGCAGGTGGGCTCCGGTGCTGTCGCTGGTGACCATCTCCTGTAGCTTGGTCCCTGCTGGGATCTCCGTCTGGATGACCGTGAGACCTCCCAGCGCGGCATGGCTTACCAAAGCGATGGCTCCGTGGCTGGCCCAGTCTGGCGGGATGGCGACGGTGGTGGCCTCGGTGGTGGCCTCGGTGGAGGCCTCGGTGGAGGACTCGGTGGTTTCGGGTTGAGTCTGGAGTTTCACGCCCTCGTCCTCGTCTTCCGTCCTTCTTTCGGGACTTTTCTTGCTCTTGTTGTCCGCGGCTATGTTCTTTTGTTCGGACGGTAGTCTCTTGTCTTCGATGTTTCCTTCCAGGACCACCAGGAATGAGGTCCACGGAGCATCGGAGGAGTGGGTCTGAAAAGGAATTTAATGATTTGAGCGATAATCTGTGTTGTAATAAACTTGAACTAAAAGTAAAAAGTGCCACCTAAGATTACTTCAATTTCAGGAAACATGTATTTAAATATGAATTCCTCTCTAATTTGTTCACAATTATATTCTGCTATTAACAAATCAACAGTTTTGCCTTGGACATGAACTGCTGTTGTGATTGTGAGCTGCACAAGCACAGATGAATCGGGCGGGTGTTTGGACTTTACTCACGGTGGTGTGTCGGCGCAGGGTGGACTTATCGGTGAAGGTGCGGTTACACATGTTGCACATGAAGGGCTTCTCCCCCGTGTGGATCCTCTGGTGCCGCTGCAGAGCGTTGAGCTGCGTGAACTGCTTCTCACAGGACGTACAGCTGTACGGACGATCGCCTGCGAGCACACAGTATGTAACAATAAGGTATAATAAAGGGGACAGGACATTTGAAATAAGCTTTTCACGGACCATGATACAGTGATATTTGTCATTTACACACGCAGTTGTTTCATGCATTCTTGAGTTGTATGCTTTATATTTTCCTGAGGCAGAGACGCCATTACTCTCTATGAACATGCCCACTGATTTTCTAAACTTGTTCACTGGTTTTCTATTTAATCTATGATATAAGGATGAGTCGACAGCTTCTATTGCTCCGTATTGTGGTCACATCAAAAATGCCGCTCAGGCTACATACAAGGTGGACAAAAAGCCGTTTTCAACTAAAAAAAACACTTCAGTGTGAACAAGTGAAAACAACTACTATGGTCTATTGTGTATATCTATACATTAGATTTACTTGCTTGCACTATATGCCAAAGCAAATACCTAGTTTGTGACTTCCTGTTACTTACAATGACAAATCAAAAGCCTTCTGATAAGTGGCGAGCGGAGCAGCCTTGCGTCCATGCTTCGTACCTGTGTGTATCTTCAAGTGCTGGTTGAGAGAGTTCCTCTGTGAGAAGCCCCGCTGACAGTGCTCACACTTAAACGGCTTTGCTCCGGTGTGGATGTTCAAATGGTGCCTCAAATATTCACGAGACGAAAAACTTTTACCGCACAGTTCGCACATATATGGCTTCTCTCCTGGGGGAAAAAGAAAAGAAAAGATAATTTTGGAGCTGAAGTCGTTGCGGTGTAATGGTTGGGTTACCTGTGTGTGAGCGGATGTGATTGGTCAACATGTGTTTCTGCGTAAACCTGGAGTCACACATGGTACAGGCAAACGGCCTTTCTCCAGTGTGAGTCCTGCACAGAAGAGGGCACTAAACATCACACATGGATTCTTCACAGCTTTTCATCACAATGTACTTGAGGGGGAAACGTATCAAAATCAATCAAATCCTTTATTTCAAACTTACAAACAAACAGGATAGAAAAAGAACAGTAATATAGTTCATTGTAAATACTATGCTACTATATACAATTCTAAAGGCAAGAAAAAATGAGGTATTCATAATGCTTTAATGGATATTTGATGTTTGAAGGTCATCTTTTGAATTTGTGATAATTTTAAATACCAGTATTTAATTTTTTTACATGATGTAGGTTATTTGAGTAAATGGTTACTTCCATTAGATTATGATGATTTATTATTGCCAATTGCATCTTAAGATTGCTGTTTAAAATATGTGCCTCTTTTCCTGGCAAAATAAACCTTTAACATGAGGTGTGGGCAAATTGGGCAAATTATATTTACAGCGTTTTTATCACCCTTACCTTGCTACTCTTTGGACTATGTTTCTTGACTATTATTTAAAAGCCTGAACAATGTTACATTGTACTGCCCCTGTGAAGTAAATAAATAAAACTAGATAGCCAATATTTCAAAGACTTAAAAAACATTGGTCGATCTCTTGTTTAAATCGACAAGCTGGAGATATCAATAGTGGAAACCAAAGGTGCCTCGGTTATATTAATTACAAACATGCGTGAATTGTTGGAAAATCAGCTTGAATGTGGTTGAAATGAGAAAAAAACAGGACTATAATGTGGTCGAAAGCTGTGGAAAAAGCCAAAATGGCGTGCTGCGTCCTCTTTAAATGCGTGCTCTTACCTGTAGTGCATGTTGAGGGCAGTTTTCTGGGTGAACTTGGACTCACACAAAGAGCACTGATATGGCTTGGTTCCGTTGTGGATCCGCTCGTGTAACTGTAAACCTGCTTTACAGCTCAGCGATTTTCCACAGACGCTGCAGACGTACTTTTGGTTGTCGCGCTCATGGACCTTAACAAAAAAAAAAAGTAAAAGAAGATTAAAACAATGTGGTGGTTCAAGTAGACGCGAGGCTAAGATTGTTTTTAGTCTGTCGAAAGGTGGTGCCGATCCCCAGAAGGCTCTCCACCACTCGCATGTTTGTACTCTTTTTACAAACCAGTACAATGCCAGTACAGTCCGTGGAACTTCAGGACTTTGCTTGTGAGCAGTTTGAAATTTGAAACAGCTCCGTCACAGATGCATGTGTATTGGTTGGTTTAAATTTCACAAAGTGTTCTGTGGGTCTTAAAAATCGGAGAAAAAACTCAACAACGGCTGGCAGAAGTGAGTACAAAATTGTGATTCTAGTGCATTTGCTCAGTTCTGGGGGAACTTTGGGTAATCTCACCTGTACAAAAGTATTGGCTCATGATCACACATTAACTCACTGAAATCCTAAGCCGCCGAATCTCCTTCTCTGCTTTACTTTGCCTTCGCGGTCACATCGCTGGCAACATACCACCAATCCACATAAACTCTGGCATCTCTGACCATCGCAGAGAAAATCCTCTTTGAAATTGTTTACGATGAAACAGTCGGGAAATATTGGATTGTGTCGCAACTACAAATCGTAACACATATCACCAGCAAGACGGCAATGCATACACTTATTGGTAGATCTGTCTAAATCAAGGGTCACACAACCTACAGCCTCACCTTACCTAAATGAGGATGACTGTTTTTGTTGTTTGTATTTCTGCGCAAATACTGTACTCCATGTGGTTTTTAAAACATACTATAAATAAAATGACAAAAATCAGAATCTGGAGCAACACAGCTGGCAATCAAGTTTCAACAGTTTTAAGGGGAAAATTCAGGTGCATATTTGTAAAGGACCTGTGTAGCTTCTTTTGTCCAGTCTCTTCTCTCCAAATATCTGTCATTTCCCCACTGTGGGACTAATAAAGGCTTCATTCATTCATTCATTTCTCCCCAGTCGCTCCTCACCTGTCTCTGGTGGCGGACCACGTCTTTCTTCCTCTTGAAAGTCTTGGAGCAGATGATGCAGGAGAACAGCCTCTCTGAGCTGTGCACGTGCCTCTCGTGGGTCTTCATGTTACTGCGGTTGGCGAAGGTTTGCTGACAAATCTCACAGCGATGGACCATTTCCGCCGCCATGCCGTGGTATGTGCTAAAAGACAAGGCCATGGCAAAATACTTAAAGCTGGAGTAGCTAACTTTGAAACTACAAAAAGTGAATCTGTGATAAAAATCTATGTCCCTGGCTTTATTTTTATCTTTCTCATGCATGTATTTATGGCCTCTGTCACATCTTTAGATAATCTTTTTTCAGGGAGTACCAGCCCTCACTCAGCCAATCAGCTCTCAGTATGTAAAAGATAACATGTTTTCCAATAAGATGAAGAGGAAATATATGTTACTGAAACAAGACTCTTTTTCTGTTGAGACAAATAAAATGTATTTGTGACACCAAAATGTTACTCTAGCTTTAACATGAAATGAACTAGGGCATCTTTCATCTTGGTCACATACAGCAATTACTTTAGAATCTACTAGAAATCTATAGTTCTAGAAAGTGCAGTTTTTACAGAATAAGTTGTGCTCTTTCCTACCTCCTGTGTTTTAAAAAGCTCTTCTCATAGTGAAACGTCCGCTGACAATCCGTACACTCAAATTGGGCTTTTGACGTCCATTTTGACACCTCCTCCCCAAAGCTGTCGTCTCCCGAAGGTTCCTGTTCTTTGGGTTCAGGGAAAATCGCATCGTAGTCATCATCATTTTCATCATAATTTTCATCATAATTTTCAACATCATCCTCCGGAGTCCATTCTTCGCCTGAATCTTCAGACTTTTTTGTTTCGTTATTATCATTGTTCATTTCTGCCTCGCTATTAACTTCATTTTCTTCATTTTTTTCCAGTTCAGGTGCAACTTTACGAGGTATTCTTAGTTTAAGAGTTTTGCCATGTGCAATTTTAGTTGTTTTTTCCTTTGTTGGTGTGTAATCGCTATCATCAGACTCCTGGTTTTTACTTTCTATCTTTCTTTTAGATCTTCTTGGATTATTGCTCTGCTCCTTTTCCTCTGGAGCAGTAGTAGAAGTCGTATTAGGAATAGTAGTAGTAGTAGTAGTAGTAGTAGAAGTAGTAGGAGGAGGAGTTGAAGTTGGTACTTTGGATAGTTTTTTCCGCTTTCTAGGGACTTTTTCTGCCCTAATCTTTTCACACAGCATAACTAACTCAGGGCAGTCCAAAAACATTGCCATTGCTTGAATAGGGACGACTTTGCGCCTGCTAATTTCAACTTTTCCAGTGTAAACAAACTCTAAGAAGACCGCAAAATCTGGTGCTTGTATGTTGGTGAGTAAAGTGTCTTGCTCCCATGTTTCAGAGAGGATGAGGCTTTTGAAATATCCACTAGAGGCCGCTAACATTAACCGATGAGCCCCAAATTCCTCCGTTTCTCCATGGAAGTCGACCTTGATTGTGATGTCGCTGAGAAGACCCTGCAGCCGAAAGTCATTGAAAGAGGCGAGCATGGTGTTGAGAAAGGACTTCGACTGGATTAGGATACCATCAAGCACCATTTTGACTTCAAAGCTAGAAGGAAAAATAGTTTAAAAACAAAGCAAAAAACAGCACAATTAGTGTATGCAAGTTGGACAATTGGCACGGTCACAAAGTAAGACAGTAGTTAAACTGTCATTAAAGTGGATTAAGTATACAACCAACTTCTTTGTGTGCATGTAAAAGCCTGATCCCGTCATATCTCAGAAGCTGAAGGCCTGGTTCGTACCGTCGGCCGATGGCATATATTATTAGCCCGGCTACCTTGCTTCTGTCAATTTACCCAGTGGCATCTATGGCTAGAGCAGTAGATTACCACCAATGGGTTTGGAGTGGATACATTGAGAGTAGAGTCTATGAATCTCCAGAAAAGCACTATACAAACAGAATAACCTTTCATTAAAGCTAACATAATTTTCTATCTAAAGACATTACAAACAAAATGTAACACAAACATATGTATATTGACATAACTACACAACTGCAATAGGGGGTTGAATTAGACGGATTTGGATGGCAGGATTTCATTCTATATGGAATGGCATACATTGTATGACTTGGTTACAATCACTAATAACTAAGAAGATGACAATAAAGTACTACCAAAATAATATAACCAATGTGTTATGTGTAACTAATGAGTAACTATTAATCACTTTTTCAAAGTTAACTTAACATGGATGTTATGCACCGATGTGCGGACATGCTACATTACATGTTTTGTATCATTCTGCTCTTCCTCCTGATTAACTAAGCTAACTAATTAACTAAAACACCAATTTACAAAGCAAAAGGACATTTTCTATCATCCATTTGCTGATAAATACCAACTTGTTTACTCCCATTGATGGCACTTTGATAAACCTGCACTCAGTCTTGCACTGTTGATCTGTTCATTGTGTTAGGCCAATTATTTTATATGAAGACATTTTATCCCTGCCTTGGCTTTATTTATTTACTATGAATTATTCATTGTTTATTTTGCAGCACCATCATCATAATCATTTCTTTATTCAGACTCTAGGACCACAATAGACCAAAGCGAATTCCTAATAACCAAAACAAAAACTTTCTGGATTGTAAATAATGAGTTACGTATCAGTGAGTGTTTAGTTCATAGACTGTTGTTTAGGTCAAAAAACTCTTTTCATAATACCAACCCCTCCCACCCACAATAATATTAGTATTACTGTTATTACTGTCTGACTTCATTAACGATGTGCTGCTATTCATTGACACAGACCATCTGCAATATAAATAAGCAATCCAAATATCAGGTGTTATTTGTCAACACTAGCTGCAGCTGACCACATTAGGCTAACACAACATACGAACAGCTAGCTTAGTCGTCTGCAGAGTAATCTAACCCCATTATTTGCGCTGATATTGGCTTGAAACCGCGTGGATTTTTACTTGTGGCAGAAAGCACAAAGCAAAGTGAAGTTTTCTTACCGTAAGGTCGGTAAAATGGCGAAATCTGCTGCGGCTGAACATAGGTTTCCGTGTAGTAGAAGTGTGCAGCAGACTTCCGGTGTTTCAGCAGACCCCAGATCAGATTTGAAATGACTTTCCTCGGGTTATGTTTATATCACTGATCTCAGGTCGGCCTAAATCTGGTTTGTTTGCCTTGTGTGATTTCAAAAACTTAGCATTTATATAAGTATATATATAAAACAATTTCATCCGCTAGATTATTTGATTATATCTTGGGAGGAGGTGGGTTTATCAATATAACGTAATGCATTATTATTAGTTTTTTTTTTCTTTAACTGTGGGATATGTTTCTATCTTATTCATTTTTTTATGGAATAGTTTATTCTTTAGGTTTATTTTTGTATCTATAATAATTATTGCAAAAACAGCACATGTTCCCAACAACCGATCAGAGAGGCTTGTTGCTTGAAGCCGTTTTGGTTTTATGGTTTACAGCCTGATTTATATATAAAACTAACTTTTATTTTTCTTCAATAGCTTTAAATTATAAGCATTAATTTAAACTATATTCTGTAAATATATTTGAACACAAAATAATGGGACGGTCCATTATGCGTGCAGTTGTGTTTCTTATACACTAGAGGGCGTCATTGCTTTACAAAACTGACAATGTATAATTTGATTTCTGAAAACTGGTCCTGTGGGAACCCTACTGCTGCTGTAAGATACTATTTCGTCTATGCTATGTTTTCTATCACTTCTCTTTATTTAGTTCAACAGCAAAAGTAGAACATCTTTTTAGCGTGCTATTGTACCTTGCATTATTACATACAGTTGTCTTTCTATCTAATGCAAGGATATCATGCAAAACTGCAGTGTAAGATAGCAAATTGAATCTACACACCAATACATTTTGCTAATAAGTCTTCGTACGTGTTGTGCTGTGTAGCCAAAGTCAATCCATGCTCCTGAGTCCTTTCATATTTTGTCTTAATGAATCCTCATATGACTCATACTGTTCCCAACAATGAAGCAGGCACAGCTTTCACACACTGGTACACTGTGTTCTTTGTCTTTTGATACTCTTTTGTTGCAAGCAAAATTAGCTCTCTTCACCCTATACAATGTAGGCATGTGTATATGGGCCTGTAATTAGAAGAAGATTTAACGTTAAGACCTGATTGTATTGACCAATAGTATCTTTTTTGTTTTTACTGTGGCAATATTTTTCAAAAAAAGGTGCTTTATGTACATGTCCAGCTGTTTGTCTTCTGGAATGTTAAACGGTTTTGAACATGTTTGTGGAGTTGCCCGATGCTTACATTATCATCACCAAATGTCATGGCACGCCACTGGCCTTTGGACAGATGCCGATTCCAGGTGCAAGCAGTATTTTTTACATACATGGAGAATGTGGATTGACGGGTGTAATTTCTAATATGTAATCTCATATTTTGGACCAGACATATGTAGGAAAGTATAAATCTGCTGGTGGACTTTGACTCGGACACTGTCTGGAACACATTACTCTGTTCCTCTAAAAGCCAGACCACCAATACATCCATCTAAACCTTTTTCACATTAGGATTTACTTGACAGCCCATTGACATTTCAATGAGAACAGTTCTGACTGCATCTTTCTTGGGGCCTACTTCCACAGGTTTCTTGGTTTTGACAGATTATTGCCGGTGACCTGTCAATCTTCCTTGTACCTGGTCCCCCCCAGCTTAACAAGGCACTAGAACAAAAGATAGTTGCTACAAGGTGGAAGCCCCCTCCCTCTCTGTCTCACTGACAGTAGGTTATGATGTTTATTGACATTTCCTTTTTGAACTGTCCACCAAAGTCCAGTTAAATGGGAATTTTTAAGATAGATTTGACAAGAACAAAGTATGCATCTTCATTACATGCTTTGCAACAAAATTATTTGTTCTCGCACCTTCATTTCACCTGTGTATATTTTGTATGTGTATGATTCAAAAACTATTATATATTTACTTAAGTCGTTGACAACAAAATCAATTAAGTTGTTACCTTTGAGGCAGTTTAAGGCGAAGGTAATGCAATTATTACTCAACTGCTTAATAGCTTGTGAGTTGATTTCACGTGATGTTTTTCCACAGTCAGCCCAGGTTCAGTCTTTCTGTAAATTCAGTCTAGCTCTAATCTTGAGGTATGTGACTTGTTGTCTCTCTCTCAGGATGCCGCAGTGAATGAAGATGGCAGAGCCTGGATATGAGGCCTTGTCAATGTCATCGCTGCCCGACACGTGTAATCAACGAGACTAACATCTGCAGCCTGGCCTACAATAACACAAGGTCAGGCACTCTTACACATATCCACTTTTAATTTTGTTTGGGGCCGATATTAGCCGCTGACTCCAGGGAGAGTAAGTCGTAGGCATCCAAATGAGGCGCGGACAGACGAGCTGGGATGTGAGTGTTTAACTCATGTCAAGACTGCAGATGTTGTACAAGGTTTAGCCAGCTGCTCCTAGAAACAAATTAAATTCCCTTGGATATATCATCAGCTTGTCATTTCCAAAGGATGTGGATGTGAGTTCTGACATTGTCCACTGTTCACACTACAAAGTGCAGCGGCTGTAAAGCTGGGGAACTGGGGAAAACAAAGCATTCGTTATTTAAAACAAACAAGAACTTTTCAGATGTCTGCTTATGTTAGAGATGTGAGGTCTGACTGTAGGCAGCAGCAATGTGAACAACTATGAATGTGTAATTGCAAAATGCTCATCTGCAACTTACAAGAAACAAAATATGTGATGGACAATGATATAAAGGTGTGTGAAACAAAACTGCAGAGGAATAAGATTAGACTTTATCGATCTCACAATGGAGAAATTTACATGTCACATTTGGCATGGATGGAACCACTCAGATTGTGCAAAAAGACAAGTGTGCAACATGTTAAGATTAAAAATGTAGTCTGTGCAGGATGTAATTATTTATGTACAATAAAAAAGTGGCAATAGCAGTGCTGGTTCTTCAGAATGCAAAGAGCTTTACCTCTGTTACCCTTCAGACGATCTGAATCAAAATGTGTGTCTGCAGCCTCCAGTGAAACACACATTTCTGATCACGGTCCTTACTGGTTCAGGAGAGAAACTGCTTTGCTTCATTTCCAGTGCATTATCATATCCATCCTCCTCAACTCGACTTACAATGACAGTTTACAGTCTTTGCTGCAGTTCAACAGAAGCATGTGTATTCATTCCATCTTCTCTGGACAACATACTGAAAGTGAAATTTAAGTGCTTGTAAGTCCATGTGAGTTTTCAAATAAAACCATTATTTATCTTCAGCATATGGTGCCGTTTGCATGAGGCCATGTGACGGGGTCCAGCGTAGCCCGCTTTAGCAGCACCACACTTCTCATGCTCCAGGCCTCCCTGAACAAGACCTGATACTTGAATTTCTCCTCTTGAATAGACAATGTATCCAGTTAAATTAATAAGTAAATGAAAAGGAAAATGGCATCATGGTTTTAAAGCTTAAAATTATGCATAGATAGTATATATATT